ATGTGTCCAGCTCTGGCCAGGGTGCAGTGTTATCTTGTGAGAGGCTGACTTCTAAAGACAAAATGTGAGGAGGACGAGTGGAGGAAAGAATGCCTTCCTACTGTTAACTAGAGCTGTGATCTGATGAAAGCCCTGAGGCTGCCACACACACATGCTCTCACACACTCACAAGCACAATCAAGTGCTTATACAGCTACAGTTATTCTGTATTATAGAATCCAGGGTCTGATATAGTGTGCATCTGACTGAGTTGACAGGAAATCAGTTGCCTTCGTAGTAGCTTGCTGCAAAGGATGTGAAATTACACTCGATTACTCTCACCTGCCACACACACACGCTCTCACTTGCGGAAACTTTTTTTTCTTTTTCTTGTAGTGATTGAAATGCACAGGAAGTGATGTAACTCAACAGTGCCGCTGCTTACACTACTGTGATCTAGCAGTCAAACACAAGTCCTCTGATGGCAACAGCTGGAGCGCCGCTGTAACTGGGGAGTTTCTGTTGGGCTGCCGTACTGTTAGAGAAATGTCTGAATGTATAAATTAGCATAGAGCTATCTAAGAGATGCTGCTTTCAGCAGCTCCAATTTGAGGATTTGCTGCTTTTTGTTTTTTCTTTTTTTGTCATTGTAAACTGAATATCTAGTGATTTTTGTCAGTCAATTGGTCAAAACCAGCAATTTTAAGATGTCAACTTGCACTCTGGGAAATGGCAACAGACATTTTTCATTATTTTTTTTACATTTCATAGATTAAATGATTGTAATTGAAATAAGGGATGGGTTTTAAATGGAGTTAGAAGTGTTCTTCACAAAAGGCAGGAATGAATGATGAAGTGATCAAATAAGGTGTGTTATGTCCATTGATAACCAGTTTTATCCAGAGTTTAAAAGGACTTCTGAATTCTGTGCTTTTGAAACTGTGTCACATCACAAGATGTTGAGATGCAATGCATATCACATTCCATTTTCATGCCAAGGCCAATATTTTCTCTGATTTGTTGTTGTACACATATATAGATATCATCTGAGCTATTCTTGGTGGTGAAAATAGTTTTACTTCCTTTCACAGTTGTGGGAAAATAAAAATTGAATCTGTAATCCAAAGTTTCCCCCACTGTGCTGTTATTCTATCTCTCTCATACATACAGGGGGCCTTTGTTTTTGCCACTGCCCCCCCTACTCTGCACAGGTAGTCACATGGTGTAACAGACTCGTCTTTTGTACAACTTGTAGAGAGACTGGGATCTCCCTGCTAATCCAGATGTGTCAGAACTAGTTGCAGCAGAATAGAACTATTAATTCATCTGTCACTCTGGTAAATTCAATTGTCATATGTTGTTTGAAATGAGCCCCAACGCTGTGTTGTCTGGTCTTGTGGTGTGTTCATGCTCTAGACATAACACAACCAATTAGTGATTTAATTGGTGATTGAACTAGTCCTTTATTTGATTAAATATTGTTCCATTTGAGCTGCTATGGAGGATGCAGGGATATCGGTCTACTTGACTTCCATGCTATGTCAGCGACTAAAGCCATTAGCACACAGAGGTTATATGCATCCACAGAATCACCGCTCAGACAGATAGCTGTGCTCCAGTACCAGTGCAGAGGCCTTCAGCTGAGCAGCACCTGTCTTCCTTTCTTTGTGCTGGCAGCTTGTTTATGGTTCAGAGAGACACGGAGGAAAGGAGCTTGTTAACAGCTATTTACACAACAAGAGTGGATGCTCCTATCAGGCATTGTTGAGGACCCCCGAAGAAGGCCGTTTAACTGTAGTCATGCTAATGGTGACTAGGGATGGCACGAGAACCAATACTTCGGTACAAAGTTGATGCCAAAGTTCTGAAAACTTGTAGAAAAGGAAGCAAGGTGAGCAGATTGAAGTTTGAGAATTAAGTAAATATAAAACATCTATCAGAAAGGGGTCATTTTTGTAATGTTCAAATGTCTGTTTATAAATGTCAGTTGAAGTTCAGGGGGTTTGGTTTTTGTTTGTTACAGTGGTATTGAAATAGTATCTAGAATCAGGAAATTTCACTGGTATTGGTATTTCTCGTATGGCGACATGCCTGATGGTGACTGTTGGCTTCCTTCTGGCTCAGTGTTTTATTGTAACCCAGAAAGTCCTGATTGAAGTAGTTTGATGGTGATACAATAATGTGAGTTTTATAAATGTATCTGAACAGTTTGGCTAATTGAGGCTAGAATCAAGTTAGTTACTGCTCACTGGCTGCTTTATAGCAACTGTGGAATATGGTTGTGTACTCTGACAGGTCTGTGTTCTCTGGAGTACTTAAGAGAGCAAGGTAGATTTTGAAGACAAAGCTTCAAGAGCTTTTGGCAATGGAAGGTGGAAAGAGTGAAAAGCTGGGGGACAAATTGGTTCCAACATTTTTCTCCTGTTGAGTAAAGCTGAAGAGACATCTGCCTTGTGACAGGAAGCAGCTGGGCTTATGTGAAACGTGGTCATAATTGTGACAAACAAGAGTACTAACAATGCTGCCACATTGCCATACAGAATCTACCACAAAACCAGCCAATATGACTGTGACGTACTAATACAGAGCTGTCCAGGATGTACCCCGCCTATTGCCCAATGCATGTTGGGAGAGGCCCCAGCAGGCTGCCAACAATGGTGCTACAACACTTTAACATCATTACCCTTTTAGGAGTAGTAATGTAGTCATTTATTTGTACATAATATTTATTAAAAAGTATTAAAGTATTTCTGATTCTGATATTAGAAAAGGAAAATGACTAATTGGGGCACACTATTTCCAGCGAGGAAATAATCAAATGTTCTGTAAAGAACCAGTAAGTGGATGAGGAAAATTAGTGGGAGGGAGGAGTGAAGTGTGGAGGAGGAAAGAAATAAGGTGACGGGGGAGGGAAACTGTAGTGGTAGGTTTTTTTGGTTTTTTTTTGCTGTGCATAGAAGCAACAAGCACACCTCCCCCACCTCCTCTCCGTCCCGGTCTTCGATATGGCCTACACACACTTGTTCACGCATGCTTAGATCCACCTACCTCCACCCTCTTGTTCACACAGACTGGGGCGTTGTGTCGGCCCACCCAGCGCCTCGATGTTAAATATGAGTCCTCACTTTTTCTGATTTTTTTTTTTTTACACAAAAATGCAGCTGATTTGTGAAAAATAAAAACGCTTGTTGTATGCATGTTTTCCTTCTGTACCCAGATACACCAACACACACACACACACACACACACACACACACACACACACACACAACACACACACACACACACACAGAGAGGCTAAAATGGTAGCAGGTGGCTAACTCCCTCGTCTTCACACATCTGCCAGGACTGGGTGGTTAGTTAGCCGACTGAATGGCTTGCTGACCCAGTAGCTGACTACTGACTGACTGGTGTACGGAAGAGCTCTCTGGCCTGTTGGCTGGATGGCAGCTGTTGCTGTTCAAACAGAGTTGCATCTGCTGGGCCCTTTGTTCTAATACTCTCTCTCTCTCACTCTCTCACTCACTCACTCACTCTAAATGAGTCCGAGTGTGTGTTGGAAAAGAAAGAAGTTCTTTTGTTTGCTAGTAAAATGGAGGTGGGGGATGGTTGGGGGCATTGCTAATGTGAAGTGTGTGTTTGTGGGGGTGTGAATGTAAAGGGGCTTTTTTTTTTTTTTTTTCCCGGGCTGGTTACAACTGATTAACTTGCTAAACATGCAAGTTAATCCACTGCACATCTGCTCAGCAGGTGATCAGGCTTCTTATAAATGAAACAAATGACTTTGTATGATGTGCCAATATGGCAACTTAAATTGTGATTACTTCCACCATGGCATGTATCGGGGTCTACATGGTCAACGGTCAGAGCTTTCTAAATCTTTATTACTAAGAATAACCACAAGCTTATGGACTGTTTATCTACATAAAATGTCCAAACAGTGAGATATAATGGCAGGGCTCCAGAGTGCGACCAATTTGACCAAAATTTTAAAGAGTGCGACTAATAATTTTTCTAGGTCGCGCTGGTACACCTGCCGCTGCCCGGGCGAAAACACACATTTATTTCGCAAGCGCATCATGCGCAACATGTCTAAAAAAACACACGATATGCTGTGACAAGTGTGTGTAGAGAAAGTGGCCCCTCTCCCAGCTGCATTTCAGCGGCAGGTAGCAGTAATCATTATTACCATTAATAATTATTTTACTTGAAATGTTTGAGTTTGAAATGTTCAATTTCAGTTCAGCTCAGCACTTCAAACACTTTATTTTTCTTTTCATATATAATTGTGCTTCAAATAAAGACAAGCATTTCTCTACACCTCATTCTTGTTTAAAAATCATTCACATTATATGAAAGTTTGGAGAGCGGTAAAAAGGTGACCTTATGGCGTTAAAGGCAACGCAATGAAAAATTTGGGTGCACCAAAAAAAAAAGTTAGGCGCATCAGTGCAACCAATGCAAAAAGTTAGTCTGGAGCCCTGATAATGGTGCATTTGCTTGTTGCTCACAACACTGCTGAGGTTCATCTACGTCCATGTTGGTCCATTTATATCAACAAAATAGTGTTGTACTGTGCATGCCAGTATCAGTAAAGCAATGTTTTTGGCCAAACAATATACCAGTGGGAGAAAACCATGCACTGCAGTTACCAACCCCTTAGTCACAGTAAAGGTTGAAGGTTTCAACTCATTGGTTGCAGAAGTTGTGGAATGAGTGAGCATTATAATAGTATCACAATACAGGGTTAATTCAGTATATTGCAGTTTTTTTTAATGCAACGAGAAGAGTGAGATCTGAATTTGTATTTATCACAGTCTCTGTAAATTTTAGCCCTCAGTTTACATTACAATCAATATTTTCTTAAACCTCTATTCAGAACAGCACTTCATTTGGAGCGCACATCTTATTCATCATACTTATTTGTACCTGCACTAATTCCAATGTTTGTCTTTCTTGCTCCCCTCCTCCTTCTGTCATCTTCTATATCCTCCTCTTTCTCCCTCTGTCACTCCCTCCAGGAACCTTAATGAGGACCATGGAGTAGCAAGCTTCAAATTAGCAGCTAGCTGATTAGCTCCTTACTGCACAACACACCTCCCTCCATCAAGTCCCCTCCATCTGTGGGCCCCCCACCCAGCCATGGCGGACCCAGGGATGTTGAGTTTATTTGGGGACGATGCAGGGCTGTTCTCAGATGGATTAGATGGTTTAGGAGACTGCTTTCCTCAGCAGACTACCCCTGCCCAGTCCAACCCTCTAGCCCAGCAAACTAATCCCTCGCTGAACCACGAGCACCAGGGAAACAGGGGTTACCATCAGGGGATGATCCATGGGGCTGGGCCTGGCCCAGGACAGCCTAAATTGGGGCAAATGTATGACCATGGCCCTTACACAGGCTACGATCAACCTGGCGCCCCCGGAGGACGAATGATGGCCCAGAACGGTCCCAGCCAGGGATCGCCAAACGTGAACACGGCCATGAATGGAATGGCTTCCCACTACCATAATAACCCAGCTAACTCTAGCAACCCCCACCATGGGTACCCAGGTGATGCTGGGGGGGCAGTTTGGGGCCAGCAGCAACAGCAGCCACAGCAGAGCAGATCAGCTTATCAGCCGCCTCCAACACAACCAGGGGCCGGCCCCAACCAGATTGGAGCCTACCAGATGTCTCAAGGCAACTATAGTGGGATGCAAAGCCCTCCTACACCCAATGCAGCTCGCATGAACCAACACTACTCTCCACAGAGCATGGCACCCCCTCCTGCTCAGGACCCATCTCACTACCTGGGACATGTTGGAATTGGGGGAGCCCAGATGAGACACCCCCAGCCCCAGCCTCAGCCTCAGCCTCAGCCACAACCCCAGCCACAACCCCAGGGCTATCCCAACATGGGCCACACACCCAGATACCCACACTCCCCTTCACGACAGCCTCCACACCCCCACCAGCACCAACAAGGCATGGGGGGGTTTGGAGGTGGCCAGTACCCTGGCTATCAGGCCCAGTATGGAGCCATGGGACCTGGGATGGGCCAGGGTGCTAATGCTAACGTCACTGCTAACACCAACCAGGCCATGGGACCAGGGCAGCTTGGCCAGAGGTTTAACCAGGGATCAGGCCCAGCAGCTGGGCAACAGGGGCAACGATACCCCACTGGACCACCACACCTGGCCCAGCCCCATCAGACCCATTCTGCCCCAATGCAGCAGCAGGCAGGGCAGCAGGGCCAGCCTATGCACCCCCTAAACCTCCCCCAGAGTCTGCCCCAGCCCCAAAACCAGCCCCAGTCCCACCTTGCCCCCCCAGCTCAGGGATCTTACCCCTCCCCCTCCCCCTCATCTATGTCACCAATGCGAGTTTTGGGAACCCCTACACCTCCTCCCCAGCAAGGCAGACCCCCTAGCGCAGGACTAGCTGGACCCCCGGAGGTTGCAGGGTACACAGCCCTGCAGTCTCCACCCATTGCTATGGCCCATCCACAGAGAACTCCCCAAACCCCTCTGTCTGCCCCACACCCCCAACACCAGCAGCCTCACAGCATGCCCCCCAATGCAGGACAGATGTATCCCGGCATGGGTCCGCAGCGTGCTCCACAAATGGGTCCAAACAGGCCTCAGCTCCAGCAACAGCAAGGTAGGACATCCCACAGGACAGTAGAGGTGGGCGATATATATATTTTGCGTTAATATCGTCATTGTTGTTTTTACGATGTGCAAATTTCCATTATCGAGTCCCTGAAGCTACGGGTACTTCAGATGATTTAGTGCCGATACAATCTGTGTATCATTCGTTCTTTTCATATTCAATTGAGATTCCAAAATCGGAAAATGAAAAAATGGTTTGTTATTTCCTTATTCGTTTATGAATCTGATACCAAAAAACAAATAACGGTTCATTTTTTGTACTTTCGATTTATTGCTCAGATCAAAAATAAGAAATGGAATAACGGACCACGGATCGATTTTGATTTTGATATTTAATTGTTTCACTTTGTATGAACCGGAAGTTATTGTCTCGTTAGCTTGATCACTTCTTCAGTTTAACTAACGTTTGCCTTCAAAACTGAGGATCAGTCATGGAGAGTTTCATTACTGTACACTAACGTTGTACTGAACCCGTTCCTTCACTGTTTATATTTGAAAAGGTACATGGCCCCAGTCTCTACATCACCGATGACAGCAACGTAGCCCTATTTCCTGGGCCTGATCGCCACGTTAGCACTTTAAACCCCATAGTAAGGGGGCATTACGAGGTGCACGGCGACAGTATCATCGTGGAGGACTCATCTACCGGCAGTGTGCCAGTAACACACAACCCTACCCGCTTTAATTAAATCAGTATATGGTTCCAGTGCGGCCATGGTGTCGATACAAAATTACTCAAAAGTAGTACGAGTGAGTACAATCACTGCATGATTGAGTTTTTTCAGGCTTTGCGAAGTTGCGGCAAACTTCCAAGTGCAACCCGAGACAATAACTTCCGGTTCATACAAAGCGAAAAAATTAAAAATCAAAATCGATCCGTGGCCCGTTATTTCATTTCCTATTTTTGATCTGAGCAGTAAATCGAAAGTACAAAAAATGAACCGTTATGCGTTTTTTGGTATCAGATTCATAAACGGATAAGGAAATAACAAACCATTTTTTCATTTTCCGATTTTGGAATCTCAATTGAATATGAAAAGAATGAATGATACACGCATTACAAGCCCCAACTCAGACAATTCCAATCACATTTTAAAGGATAACGACTGATTATCGTTATCTCCAAAATCCCCCAAAATATCTATTATTTTTTGCCCATATCGCCCACCCCTACAGGACAGCTGACACTGTGCCATGTTGCCTTTTCATTACTCACCCAGCACCCAGTCAAGCATTTTGTTTACCTGCACCATAAATATTTTAAAATCACAGAAAAAATAAAAGCTAAGTTTCTTGACACTTCCCTGCTTTTAGTGTTTAAATACAAACATTTTAGTGTTACTATGGATTAGACAGATGGTTGTGAACTAATACCAACGTGTTGCTTCCGGTGTGACTTTGTCTTTATGCTGTCTACATTTTCATACCAGTGGAAAAAAGGACGAGTATGTTTGGAAACATCACACATATTTGAACAAGAAGAAATTGTGTCTTGGTGATTGACAGGAAGTAAAACACACTATTGTTTGCTACGTTCCTCTCCCTGTAGGGCCTCATGAAGCTCCAGTCAGCCAGGGGGGAGACCAGCGTCTTCTCCAGGCCCAGCAGCAGGCCTCTCGAAGCGGGCAGCCCCTGCCGCCCGCCCCCATGGGTTTCCAGGGTCCGCCTGTCAGTCAGCACGGACTTCCAGCCCCAAACCAGGGCTTAGCACCACCCGCTCCGAATGCTCAGACGCAGCACGCACACCTGACCCCACACCCACAGCACCTGCAGAGCACGCCCACTCCCCCCAACCAGGCCTCCCACCCGTGGGCAGCTCCGCCTCCCACCACCCACCCGCTCTCCTCACCCCCTCTCACCCCACAGAAAGTGCCTCACATACAGGTGAGTCTCCGTCAAACAAACCCTTTGATGTGGCAGCAGTGCTGTGTGTGAGTGTGAGAGAGATCAAGACTGTGCATTTGTTTTCATGTGTGGGTATATTTTATGTGAATGTTTATTTTTAATGTGGGTGGGGGAATGTGTGTGTTTGGAGTGTAAGGGAAGTGTGTTGCGTGTGTATGTGCATAAATGTGTGTGTACATGACATTTGAGAACACAGTGGTGCATTGGGCACTGGTTCAGTGGGGTTTTGTTTGTGTGTGTTTTTTGCTTTTTGTGTCTTCTGCTGTCGACCTTGTGTGTGGTTGTGTTTCCGTGTGTGTGTGTGTGTGGGGGGGGGTAGATTTTTGCAGCTGTTTGTTTCCTGTGAGCTGCATATCCTGAGACATGTGTGCAATACACATACATACGCATACACACACACACAGGCGCCACCAGCATAATCTCTCCTCCCTCTTGCTCCCACATCTCCCCCTCCTCTGTAGAGGAAACCTCCCTTCCTGTCTCTCCCTCCTCCCCGTCTCCTCTCTCTCTCTCTCTCTCTCTCTCTCTCTCTCTCTCTCTCTCTCTCTCTCTCTCTCTCTCTCTCTCTCTGTGTCTCTGTCTCTGTCTGTCTCTGTCTCTGTCTGTCTTGTCCATTTTGGGGGTGTCATCTCTAAGTTAATGTTGTGTAGCCGGATGTGCAGTGAGACAGTGAGGAGGGGGAAAAAAGAAGCTGGGGGGTGATTAAGGGGGGAGGGGGAAAACACGAAGACGGAAAAAAGTGGGAAAACAAGCAAAGATCTCAAGAGAGGGAGTCCAGGATCTCTAGCAAAGGGGAGGGCTGGTGGGAAGAGGTTAGCAGTTCTCAATGGCAACCTCCGTGTGTGTGTGTGTGTGTGTGTGTGTGCACTGTTGCCGCTGCCTGTGTCACGTGCCCTTGGCTTCCATTAGCTTGTTTTGTTGCTCAAAGCCCCCTTTCTCTACTGACCCATTCACACACAATAGCAGCCCTGTGGACACACACACACACACAGATCTAGTCCCCTTTTTGCCTTCCATTCTCGTTCACACTACTCCACTCTCCTCGCCACCCTCCCACCCACCCCCACTTCCAAGCCTGCGTTGCTGCGTTTTGTGGTTGACATTTCAGCCGTCACACTTAATTTATCCAGCACTCCTGACCTAGATGCCAGGTTGACTGGTGAGCCCTGCTCCTCGCCTGGGCGAGCTGCGTGCTCCACTCTGACTCTAGCTGCGGGCCCGGCAGCTCCCCATCATTATACACACAGACACACACACATGCCGACAGTGTGGCTTGGGATAGTGTGGGCTGGAATGGGATGGCAAATGTGCCCGGGGAAATAGGATAGCCTAGCTAGAGGAGTACTCCGAGTGGGGGGGTGTGTGTGTCTACGGCCCAGGAACGGAGTTCTCTCTGTGCCTCATGATGCACTTGTTAGAAAGAGACACACACACACCAAGCCGGTCAGTCAGTCATGATGACTGTATGTCTGGTACTCTAAGCTCCATCTGTTCACTAAGCATGGTTATTACACACACACACACACACACACACACACACACACACACACACACACACACACACACACACACACACACACCACACGCGCGTGCCTTCGTCAGCAGCTCAAGGTCACAGCTCTGGCAGAGTGCTGTGCTGTGACCTTTATTCCACATCTCTCTCTCTCTCACACACACACACACACACACACACACACACACACACACACACACACACTATGTTGCGTGCAGCACTCTAGTTGACATATAACATGCCTGTCTCGCCCCTCCCCCGCTCATGCACGCTGTCAGCGAGCTGCTATACCATCCAGCTCTCTGCGGCTTCGAGGAAATGCTCCTCTAATGTTCAGTCATCTCTCCTTGTTTGTGCGGATTTCAACCAAACGAGAATGCTGTTCACAGGCTGACAAAACTTGCTTGCTTTCATCACAGATTCATGTCAGTTGTGAGCAGTAATAAGAACGTGTTTCAAACAAATGTCCCTAAACATATTCCACACACCAGTGTGACTTGTGTGCCACTTTTCCCCTCTCTTTTGGTAAAGTTCAAGTTCAACCCAGTTCTAAACTAAGAACTATCTGTCAAAGATGTATGTATCCAAAATGTTGAGATGATCGGCTTGTCATCAATACTGTCAGAAGAAATGAAATGAAAATCACCCATCGATAGTCACAGCAGATCAGTTCTGCCGCTTCCTTGTTCCGAGAGATGACATATTTAATCATCCTTTGAGGGCAGATAATACGAGCACTGGTGTGGTCACCTTGTCAAGCTAGTTCTCTGTACGCTGTTTCGTCTTGGTTTTGGTGGTTGAGTGAGTTTTATTGGAAACACACCTCACCTCTGAAGAGCTGAGACACGCAACTGCTGCAGTGTCTGAACAGAGAGGATGTGCTTCCTTCTGCAGATACCTTGAATGATTCTTGGATGTCTGATTGAGAGATGAGACATTAACTCTTGCCATTGCATAGTAACTTAAACTTCGTATGTGAGAAATGTGCATTAGCTGTCTGCACAATCCAGTGTTCACATTAAGAAGAGTAAGAAAAATGTCTTTAGAATTTATCCTGTCAAGATGAATTGTTGACCTTCTCATACTTTTAAATGGTACATTTATGTTGCTACAGTGTGCCAAAATAACTTCCTATTAAATGTCTATAATTATATATAGCTATATTGCACCTTTGAATCACTTGTCAGGCCTAGCAGAAGGAAATAATATAAAAATCATAGACTATGGAGAAATGGATGTGGACATTTGGTAAAGCCTTTGATTTCTGCTCATTTAGTTAGAAATATGCAATGTTATACAGAGATACTTAGATTTGAGGCACAGTTACATAGTGACTAAAGATGTTTTTAAGAGTTTAACACTGAAAACTTTTTGTCACCAGACTCTAATTTTAAATTGGTTGGTGTACAGAAGTGACAATACCTTTTTCCAGTTGAGCCCACTTGAAACCAGTGAGAAGAACACTAAAGGGAAAAAGAACTACAAAGATCTCTCATGGGAAATAACCCAGATCTGTTCTAAACTTTGGCAGGAAATTGTGTGGTCACGCAGGCACCCGTCACTCAGAGTAATGAGCTGAATGAGAAAATAAGACTTGGATATCGAGAACCTGTTCTCAGTTCCAAATGTATAGTAACTGTTGGGGTTTATTACGGATTGTGCTTTTCAAATTGAATTTTGTGACTCCTGAATGAGGCGTTCGGACCTACTGGAGTTTTGTCTACATTGCCGTTTCAGTCTCCATCAATCTGTGACCGACCAAAGCTTGTGCTCAAAAGTGCAGCCAAAAAAATGGTAGTAATATGTAAAAAATTATGAGGATCAAAAATGATTTCATGCAGGAGAGGAAGACTGTCTAACATTAAGGAGCATTTACTGGCAGCATGGTGAACAGCAAGTGAACTTTCAACTTCTTCATGGCAAGAAAGAAGTCTAGAAAGAGTACACTGTCGTAAGTGGCAAAATAAATACAGGCCAGAGTTGAAGCCAAAGCAGACAGGTCTGGTTTTGTTAAATGGGTCTTCCTTGTGTTAGATAACTGAGTGACTGACCACACTGTAACCTGCTGAATGGTGGAGGTAGTTAGCAGCCGTCAATTTTACATGGATGGATGCATGGACGGATGGACAGAGTGAGGCGAGAGGCAGAACGATGAGAACAGGATTTCCTTTCACTCCATCCTTTGGGAGTCTTAAGTGTTCCTGGCTCCTGGATTTAACCCTTCATCTCGCTCTTCTTCCAGCTGCCCCCCACCCTCCTCACGCTCTCCCCTCTGTCCTGAGAGATGATACCCATCCCTGTTCATCTCTCCTGAGTCCGTCATATTAGCCATGCTGCCATTGCTAGTCTGTTGGTGTGAGTGATTCATGCTTTTTATTAAACTCCGTTATGTGTGATAGTGTTACAACCTGACTGGGAGTAGATTATGATGATGCTTCAGTAGAGAGCGGAATTAACCAGAACAACTCCACCACACCAGCAAGCTAAATTCACCTTGCAGAACACCAAACCTGATGCAGGACTCGAGCGTGTGTGTGTGTGATTGTTTGTGTATACACTGTGTGTGTGTCTCCATTGTCATTCATGTGATTGATTATCTGGGAGGCTTGGCAGGAGGACAGATTTATCTCTTGGCACCGTAGCCCCCCCCCCATCTCTCTCTCTTCCTCTCTGCCATAGTCTTTCTCTCTTCTCTCTCTCTCCCCCCTAGCTCTCTCCCCCGCTCCACCCTATTTGTGTGTCTAAACGGCTCAGTTTACGTGTGTGTCAGCAGGTGTTTGTGTGTGTGATGCGTGACCTTGCAGTAGTTTGGTGTGTGTGTGTGTGTGTGTGTAAATTAACATTCTCCTGGTGGAAGTGGACTTTCAGTGATAGCATCCCAACTCTTTCCTCCTCCACGCTACCAAGCTATGCTAAGTGTGTGTGTGTGTATGCATACACAGAGGGGAGCTGCAGCCATGGCATTTAGCTATAAACTTGCTGATGCACACACACATGCTTCGTTGACACACTTTGAAACACACCGTAGTGCACGTGTGCTTTACGCATGCACACGCGCACACACACTCACATTCACTCTCTCAAAGGCATACTCTCCCTTGCTCTCGTATGACACACATACTCCCTCGCTGCGCCTTTTTGAAGTATGGAGATAATTTATTCGTGTCATGATGCCTGATTTCCCATCTGCTACTGGGACCCTGAGCAGCTGGAGAGAGAGAAAGAGGGAGGGAGGGAGGGAGGGATGGAAGAGAGGGAGAGGGAGGAGAGGCAGCTGGAGAGGCTCCCAACAGCTGGTAACCAGTTGCCTGTCACAGAAAGCAGTGAGGAGGAGGAGAAGGATGTGAAGGGAGAAGGAGGAAGGAGAGAGGGTTTAGTCTGCAGGAGAGCAAAGCAAGGAAGAAAAATGAGGTGTCAGCCAGTTTGTTTACTAAGGTTAGCCTACTGGAGGAGGAGGCGGGGGGGGACTGTAGCAACAGGGGGTCTAGGAGAGAGGAAAGAGAGAAGGTTGTAGGAGGTTTGCCTGCCTGCATGCATGGATGGATGGAGCCCCTCTTCCCCCCTCCTGCTCTTTAGCCTGCCATTACTGACAAATTCAACCCCCACCCTGCAGGAAATATTGCAGTATTGACTGACAGGCTGGCACGGCTGAACCAGTGTCGAAGCAAAACATTAGCAGACTCATTTCATGGCACATGTGCTCAGACGGATCCATATTTGATGTGATTTAGTTTAGAGCTGAAATGATAAATTGATTAGTCGGTCAACAGAAAATTCAGCAGTGAGTTTCATTACTAAATCAACAATTGTATTTAATTTAATTTAATTTTTTTTTTAAAGCAAAATGGCAAAAATTCTATGACTCCAGCTTCTCAAATTAGAATAATAGTTGGTTTTATGTGGCAGCAAAGTCAATATCATTGGGTTTCAGACTCTTGTTTGTACAAAGCAAGACATTTCTGACAATTTATAGACCACACAATGAATCCATTAATCCCAAAAAGAATTACCAGGTTAACTGAGAATGAAAATGATCATTGGTTTCAGCCCTACTGCAAATAACGACTGCTTGATTATTTTTTACAATTAACCAACCGTTTAGTGTATGAAAAGTCATAAAATTGTGAAAAGTCCCCATCGCTACTTCCTAAAGCCCAAGGTCGGTATCAAAACTACTTGTTTAGCCTGACTAACTTTCCAAAACCCAAAGATATTCACTTTATATTGGGATAAGAAGCCAAAAAGTCATGTTGGAGAAGCAGTTGATATTTGACATTTTTGCCAAAAAGGTCACTACATATATTTGCAAACTGACTCAGTTCCTTTTCTGTAACAATTTGGTGTATTTTATGCTTTCTGTGCTGCTGCTTGGCTAACATTGGCCAAATCTGGATATCCACACTTTGATGTGGTTTCCAGCTATTGTTCCCTAATCTTTTCCTTGCTGAAAGCCAATTGACTACTGTTGTTTGTTTGTGGGGGAGATGGCTTTAAGTGTCTTATTTAAACTTTATTTTCTACATAGCCTAAACTGTTTTAATCACAACATTGCTTAGAAACTCAGATTAACTGATATCTTTCTCCTCCACCCTCTCCAGCATTCCCCCACCGACCCGTCAGGCGATGCCTCAATGATGGCTCCCGACAGGCCGACAGTTGGCGCCGGTGCCCCCGGACAGCCTATCAGCACAGAGCAGCCCAGCGACCAGGAGACCAAGCCAAAAAAGAAGAGGAAGAAGAAAGCGAAAGCAGTGGACAGAGAGGAAGAGGAGGGAGGGATAAAGGTAGGAGGAGAGGAAGACAAGTCGGAATTTCCCGGAACAGGAAGCGATGCAGGTGAACAGGTTGCTGGCACAGGAATTGTAGAGGGAAGTTCATCGCCAGCGGAGGAGAAAAAAAAGCGGAAAAAGAAACCAAAGGAGAAGGCAGAGGGCAAGCAGCCCAAAGAGCCCAAGACCCCGAAGACACCCAAAACACCCAAGACCCCCAAAGAGCCCAAGGAGCCCAAGGAGAAGAAAGCCAAGAGCTCCACACCCAAGACCAAGACCCCCAAGAAAACCAGGTAGGAGCAATATTACATTAGTCACTTTTGTTTCTCAAGTAGCAGTAATGAAAGCTAGCTGAACATGCAACAGCTGGTGTAAACACTTCTAGGTATAGGTGTAAGAAAATATCAGTACATTTCAGTTAGATGTTTTGTGATATTGTATCAACCACTAGATTTATGCATATGATAGTGTGTTCTTTATACTAGGACCCTTTTTCCTATATTAGATTTTTAGAATGTTTTTTTGACAATATATTGCCTTTGATACAGAATTATCAGTAATTCTGTATGAGTATATCCTCATATATTGAATGGTAACCGTAGTGTTATATGTATCGTATTGCCTGATTCTTGCCGATACACAGCCCTACTTCTAGGAGTGTTGTCTTAAAGCTGCACTTGGCACCACTAACCATTAAGTGGAAGTGTGATGTTTCACTTCCACATATACACATGGAACTAAATCAAACAATAGGGTAAGCAGCTTAGGTGGTTACTGAATGGATAGAAATCATCTAAGGAAATATTTTGACTCTCAGTTTCACTTAATAATTGTACAATTTCTTGGTGCAATCAACGTGGTACTGAAAAGAAATACATCAAACGTGTACATTTTGATGTCAGTTACTTAACATGGGACATAAACACAAGCTTGCACACAAGCAGACACACACTAGATCCATCACTCATGCGACCAACCAGGGGGAACTGAAGGGGTCACAACCTCTGAGCTGTGTGTGTGTGTGTGGGGGGGGATCACAGGACTCAGTGGAGCATGGACCGCTAGACAGGCGGATCTGAGGATAAATCACATTTCTTCCATAGATAGTGATCAACAGGGTTAAAAGTACTGTCAGCTTAATTTGGCAGGTGAGATGGAAAGTAACATTATTCAGCTGCTTCTTCAGTCGGCACTGTCTGTTAACGCACCGCAGAGGGAACAATGGCTGCTGTTGCCACTTCTGCTGTGAAGTTTTTGCAGCCATTATAGAAGAACATGTTTCTTTAAGGGTTAGTCCTCCAGATTGTTTCCTATTGTACTTCTGCTGGAGTTCTGTTGTTTGGGGAATTTCATTCCTACAGTTTCCTGTTTCTGTAAGGACCAGTGTGTAGGATTTAGTGGCATCTAGCGTCTCATCCCTCTCATACAAGTGTAGGAGAAACTACGGTCCCCACAAAAAACCCAAAAGGCGCTATCTGCACCCAGTGTTTGTTGTGTCTGTTCTGAGCTAATGTAGAAACATGGTGGTTCAGAATGAGCCCTGTTTATAAAAAGATGCTGTGAGTCCACCATGTTGAACTACCATGTTTCTACAGCAGCTCAGAATGGACGAGGTCTGGGTGCAGATAGGGACACATCTCCTCTGCACAGTGATGGTGAAGTGAGGGAGTTTCAATCTGCAACTTCACCGCTGGATGCCACTAAATCATACACACTGGACCTGAACAGCAGCCACTGTGGAGGATACACTGATTGTTGGTTATTTCATGGGATTTGTTGATTGATGGAATTTGTAAGGAATAGAGCAGACAATATTCTGTTCTTCTTGTCTGTTTATTATTGCTGCTTAACACCTTCTCTTCCCTTGAGTTATTTTTTGTGTTTTGTCCATACCAAGCATGTAACAATGCAAGGAGCCTGTGAGCAGTTGAAACGTACTGAAAGAGGATATAGACCAACTTGATTGACCTTCTAGCACTTGTCATTGTTTGTCGCTGTTAGCTTTGGTTCACTTTGTTTTTTCTCTCTCTCTCTCTCTCTCTCTCTCTCTCTCTCTCTCTCTCTCTCTCTCTCTCTCTCTCTCTCTCTCTCTCTCTCTCTCTCTCTCTCTCTCTCTCTCTCTCTGTGTTAACCTGTAGTGTGAAGTCTCTTCCGGTGTGGATGCTTTCTCACTGTCCCTTGCAGACTGTCAGATCAGAGAGTTGGGCAGAGGCAAAGAGCTCAGAGCGTTTGTGTGTGTGAGAGAGTCAGAGGGGGTTTCATTTTGAAGGTGGAAATTTGATCAGACTGAGGAATGTGTCCGGACAGCCCCCATCTCTCTTTCTCCCTGTCCCAGCCCTCAGCCCCCCCTTCTCTCGGCCCCTTTTATCCCAAGGAAGAGGGAGGGCCAAAGCAGCAGGCAGGGGTCAGCGCTGGGGGAGGTGTGTGTATGTGTGTGCGCATATGCATGCATGCATTGGCCACTGGAAAAGTGTCGGGGGCGGGGGATTGAGGGGACCTGGGGTGAGTGTGCGAGGCAGCAAGGGGGCAGGCGTTTTTGTGTGTGTTGGGGGAGGGGTCGTTGGTAATCTTTGTGGCAGAAAATGGCGTCTAATGATAATGAAGGCCATGCCGCTGACCACTCCACAGCCACAACTGTGTGTGTGTGTGTGTGCAAGGGCAGAGGAAATGTGGGGGTGGGGGAGTCCATTCTCAGCCCCGTGTGTGTTGGTAAACTAGCTCTTATCTGTTGTCAGGCTTTCCTCCATCTTGAGTGGCGGCCCGGAGCTCCCAGGTTAATTTAGCATAATAATGGCTGCCGGCCATTCACTGCTACTCTAAAATGGTGGACTGCTGCAATCACCCAACTATCTTCTCTTTTATTCTTTCTTCTCCTTTCCCCTCCCTCAATCCCACCTCTTCCTGCCGAAGAGCAGTGTATCCTTTAATCTTTTCCTCCTCTCCACCCTCCTCCCTCCCATCTTCCCTCTTCCTTTCCTTTCTTCCTTGTCTTTCTGATTTCAGCCAAGCATTGAGCATTTCTCTTTTACTTCTGCTGTCTCATGTTGTCTTTTGCATTTAAGCACATTAAGTTTCTGGTTTTTTTTTTTTTAAATGAAGTTTGGCATGGCACTCATGAAGTTCAAGCTCTTCATTAGTCATGGTTCATTCCCCATAGGGAAGTCATACAGTACGTATGTAGGTCTTTATAATATATTATTTCATGGCTTTATATGTTCTTTATGCAGTTAACTGTTCCCTTTTTCTAAGTTTTTCTTGTGTGCTCCTTTTCTCGTGGTAAGACTTCCTTTCCGAATCTGACGAGTTGTTACTGTTAGTTTTTAACTTTTCCGACTTATTAAAATACATAATTTATTTTAAAAGCTGTGAAATGAAGCCTCTCACTTGGTGTAGAGACGCATATGGCAAATATGTTCCATTGCATTTTTGGGGGATTTGTGTGAGATTTCCCCTAGTGGGTGGAGAAATAAGCTCCAAAGCGCAGCGGTTTTTCATGTGGCCCGTACCACGCTACAGTATGTTTTCTTTCTGCTCAGTGTATTTGCATCTCTGTACGAACAAATAAGCCACCACAGAGCAGACTGAAGTCCTCACTTAATTGGTGTAACCAGGATGTTGGGGCTTGTACTCTTAACCCTTTTGAATGCAGGCAGTTTTTCACTCCCTTTTTATTTACAAGTTCGTGGCATTGTAGCTACCAGTCATGTCATATTAGCTAGGTATTTCCAGAATATGTTAGGATAGTTGCACATCACTAGTACTGTGTGTGTGTGTGTGTGTGTGTGTGTGTGTGAGATCAGGTGGTTAACTTGTCCAGTCAGCTCGCTCCTCTCCTTTGACCTTGCTTTTTCTCTCTATCCTTCTTTTCCTTCGCTCTCTCGCTCGCTCACGCTGCCTCTCTCTGTCTACCTCTCTCAGAGGAAGTACATCTATAAATAACCCAGCTCTCAGCTGCCACACCCTTCCCTCAGAATGTGTGTGTGTGTGTGTGTGTAGGGGTGATTTGTTTGCAGTACACACAAAGAAGTCAGACATGCATGCAGGCACCTTGCTTTGTCTGCAGACGCGTGTGTGTGCAAATACAGCACTTTTCAACACACATAGAAGATGTGTGTGCGTGTGTTGCCTTCTGGCCACTGGTGTTGGTTTTTGCTGCCATGGGTCGAGCGTGTGCATGGGGGTTCAGTGGTGTGACTCATCACGTCAGCAGGTGTCCCTTTACACCCCACCCATCCCCCGTTTTGTCTTCCTCTTCACTTCTCCTTTCCCTCCCCACATTTTACTCCCAATGCTCTGCTTCCTGTCCTTTATCCTCCCTCCACCGATCTGAAAGGAGCATCTAAACTTCTCTATCTCTCTCACTCACACACACACACACACACACACACACACACACACACACACACACACACACACACACACAGTGCAGCACAGCTGGCCAGCATGTGTGAATGCTATAAGCCCATGAGTATTCAGGAGGATGAATGAGATGTTGAGGAGGGAGGAGCTTTTGTGTACACCTGGACAGGACTAGCCTGTCGATTTTAATACCCTCACTCATAGGTAGGATGTTTTATCAGGGTTTTATAGCAGTACAATGATGTCATTAATCACCTCACTCCTCATCGGACGGACAGTACAGTTGCCTGATTTCTGTTCAGGTGTTTTTTGTTTTTTTTTTTTTTTTAGAGGGATCCAGTGTTTCAGTTTAAGTCTTAAAGGAAAGTAAAGTAAAGAAAGCGTTTGGCTGAAATTATTAGTTATTTGGATCCTTGACATCAGCCTTTTTTAACCAGGCAAAGTTCTTCTGATTACATCCTTGTGTGCTACTCCAATAAATCTTGGATAAAAAAAGTAAAATTTGACATCATATATTGATGGATTACTGATAAGTAATCCATCAATTTTCAAGTCTCTGGGCATTTTGAAAGTTGCAAAAACCTTTAGTTTACTGGGATAAACAGTAATGTCAACACAGCACTAATGTAAGGTATGTACAGGATTTTATTGTAAATTGGTTGAAAAAGCATTAAAAAAAATATGATTATGACCATACCTGTACAAAATATCGGCCCATCAAGCTAATCAGCAAGCTTATTCAGGCCAGTTTCATACTAGGCACTAGGTCAGTGATGAGTCAGTGATGGTAAATATAAAGTTATTTAGACCCGACAATTCCCACTATGAGCCAGGCGTCCCATCGTATTCTAGCTCTAGAGTTACTAGCTTCTCAACTATTATCAGACACAATTGAACATATTTGGGACTGAGAGCAGGAAAGAAGGCTGTAGGAACAGGCAGAGGATTGGTAGACAAACTGTATTAAGCAATAGGTATATAAGACATGTCTGGTATTTAATGAGCTACCAGTGGGATAGAGGCGGCATTATGATTTATGTCACACATACACAGTTGTATTGTGTGACTGACACCTCGTAATAATGAGACTTAATCACGGCAAGGCGGTCATCTAATTAAAAAGCTAAATAAATCTTAAACCTGCGATGACTTATTTGTTTGTCCACTTGGGGGCAGCAGAACCCACCTGACGCCAAAGTCCAATATTCATTTTTTTAGCCCGGTTTTTGATCTCCACCAACTCTAAAAAATATCGGTCTCTTAAGCTGCTAAATACTCCATTTGTTCCCCAGCTCGTCTCTATGTGAGTGCCTGCTGTTTGATCCTGGGCAGGTAGTGTACGGTGGATTTTTAGAGCTTTTTTCACTGAAATGTTGTATGAGGGCAACAAGAGTGAACAGTAAACATCAGTCAAGTTGTGGACCAAACGTATATAAATAATGAGGTCACTATAACGCTGAAGGGAGCTGCAGATTCAGAATTTGTAGTAGGTTCATCACCACGAGTCACAGCTTTCGCATTGTTTTCACATTGTCATTTGACACGTTGTCACGTAAATATATCCATTATAGCTGTTTTAAAGGGATACCCTGCCCAAAAATCATCCTCCAGGCATCCACACCCACATTCCTGACACAGCAGCAGTGTATTTACAGTCATGAGGCAGTGAATGTGTAGTCGATAGGTTCAAACAGCTAAAGCATTGTGGGAGAACTAAACTACACCGAAAATAAAAAGGAGAAGATGGATTGTTGGAGAGTAGAGTTGTTGGGTTGAAACGGTAGAGGACGGGGACGGAAGAGATGGACTGAGCAGAAAGAGTTGGGGAGGTGATGAAGGGACTCAGTTGAGATGTGAAGCTAGGAGGAAGAGAGGGGAGAAGGCAGCCAAGTGGAGAAGTGTGTGTGTGTGTGTGTGTGTGTGTGTGTGTGTGTGTGTGTGTGTGTGTGGCCAGATGGCTCCAGCGTGTGGCGACCAGCCAGAGGAACAGGTGCAGGTCACATGACCAGCCGTTACCACGGAGATGGTGATTGCTCTTGGCGTGAGGATGAAAGGAGAAGGGCCCCAGGGACAGAGAGGGGGCGAGAGACGTAGAGAGAGAGAGGGAGCAGGAGGGAGAGGGAGGGAGGCAGGCACAGAGCAGGAGAGAGGCCGAGCAACATAGGCACACACACACAGAGAGAGAGAGGGAGAGAGAGAGATCAGGCTTACAGTACTGCGGAGGGCAACATGGGGGAAGATGCAACACACATAGCCTCAGCACACAGCGCACACACACACACACAGGCACAACTGACTATTTTTTCATAATTAAGTAGAGCAAATTATTGTATCCTAGTGGTCTAAATGTGTATTTGTATGTTAGTGTTTAAAAAATCAACATTTTGTTAACTGAACAGTACAGTTGGGATGGGATAGCCTGTTCCATTGTGGATCCGGTTCCAGGTTTGCAAAATGCCCAGATTCGCAAAGCTCCGGTGCTAACGAACGTCTCATGAAACCTTTAATCTCTCCTCACTCTTTTTTTTTTTTTTGATTACCAAAGGGCAGTGGGCAAAACATTCAAGCAACAGGCTCCTCGTTTGTAGCCGCACTGACCATCGCTTTCCCTGTTGAAGTGACATCACTACTGGCAGTGGCAGATTGTAACTGTAGCTAATAGGGCATAATCATTATCAGTTAATCTGTTGACCATTTCCATGGTCATTAGTTGGTTGGTCCATTAAATGTTGGAATAAATGTCAATTTAGAGCAAGAAGTAGTGAAAATGAAGGTGTACAAAAGTAAGTAGACCTCCCTTGTTTTCTCATTGTGTTACATATCAGCTCAACATTTGCACATTTCATTTTCAGCTTCTTGCTAGAGGTCAGCCTCCATTTTCCAACTCAAATTGATCTTCATATGAATGATCCAATACTGATTCATAAAATCCCAAGATCAATCTTTTAATATGCCCTTTCGTGTGGATGCGTGAACCTTTTAGTCTCGTGTTGGCAGCCTTAGGTCTGTCAAGCAACGCGATCACATGAGAAACTAGTGAATTCATTGAGATGAAAAGAGAGAAAGGAAAACACCCAGCTCACAAATGGGTGTTTACCTGTACTTTTGTTATGCATGAGGCTGGGATGAAGCCGGTTTCCCCCGAGCTACAGTGGGACCCCCAACCACCAGTATTTGTTGCTCTTCTCGTAAGGCATGCAACGCGACAAAAAAGCAAGAGAACCAGTGTTGGGTATCTGCCTCTCATCAAGAATCTGGCGATGCGTATCACAATACAGGGGTTATGGTTCAATATATTTAGATATATTATATAAGCAAGGCGGTAGATTGCAATCTAATATTAGAAACACTATCATTGTATATAGAACAAACCACCATATGCATAAAAAAGGCGTCCTTTGGGGTATCTTGGTAGCTCACCTGGTTGAGCGAAGGCCTCAAGTCTTATCTCAGCGGTTCAGGTTTGATTCTGACCTGTGGCTCTTTGCTGCCCGTCATGCCCCCTCTCGCTCTTCCCTCTCCTTTACATCTCAAATCGTCAAATTATGGAATGAAAAGCCAGAAAAGTTTACTTTTTTATGGAACCAGAACAGGGGCATCTACAGCTCTCACTAGTGGTAGGGGGTTTAAACACAAGAATTTGGCAAAAGTTTTTGAGAATCGTTATAAAATATCGCAATGCAGTATTTTGTATTGAACAGACCTGCTCTGTTGAGTTAATTTTAAAGAGGATATGAAGGCATGGACACACTGCTGTCTATTTACAGTGTAACTGTGCTCATCTGCCGTTGCCAGTAAATGCCGCAGGGTTTCCTGTGCAATTTACAGCATTAGTTGTCTGAAAATGTATCATATCCAAGCTAAATTATAACTGAAATATCCCTAACAGAATCGATATTGAATGAGATCAATTTGTGCTATCAGTGATGATACCCAGCAGCAGCTACAGGTTGAGTCACTTGCAAAGCTATAACTAAGTAGATTTAAGGAATGGCTTTAAAGGATTCAGATGTGATAAGCAGATTCAATGCTGGATTTGGATGCCATAAAAAGATATCAAGCCCCAACCCTCGAGTAGGGCTGACTATATACGATACTATCACGATGAACGCTGATATTTCCATTATCGGGATAATCATGAATATTCCAATATGTCTTGACTTGAAAAAGCTGTCTAGCTCTCCAGCATGCAGTCCTGTATATATTTCCTGAGTTATTCTGAACAATGGGAAAAGGTATAGCCTACATCTTTCCAGTCATTTCAAAATCCTAATCCTGTCACCGTGAAGGGATCAGCTTCTCCGTTGTATTCCCCACAAAAGTTAAATCGGATGTGTGAAAATAGTACAGATTCCAAAATGTAGAACAGGGAGATGAGGTGTCTGTAATGCAGTAAATGTTTCTTGACTAATTGTAAGGTAAAGTGATTCCAGTATGTTTTAGTGCCATTTTAAAAGGCTAGGCTCAAGTGTATGTTGGCGTTTTTCAGCCTTCTGTAAACTACCCTTGTTATTGGTGATGGCAGTAAAGTAACTGAGTACTGAGAGGCTGTGTGAGACAGAAGAGGGCTGCTGAGTGTCCTCTTGCCTTCCTCTATGGTGTGTAAGCACACACACTCTCAGATAGAGCCAGCTCCTCTTTCTTTCCATGCCAGAGATTAGAGGAAGCCCAGGGGTCTATCAACCCCTCCCCCTCCTCTCTGGGGCCTCTCTCTTTCTGTCCCTCTCTCTGTCTGCCTGTCTCTCTCTCACTCCCTCCCTCTCTGTGTCTCTCTTCCTCTCCATGCCTGTATCTCTCCATCTTTGCTCCGTCGCTCCCCTCCACCTCCTCCTCCTGACAGTCTTTCATCATATTAACCCCCTGTGTGCCAGAGCCTGAGGCACACTAATGATTTCTAAATGGATGAATCAAACATGGCGACCGCCCTGGGACAGACGCACACACACACACACACGCACACACACGCACACACATATGAATGCGTTACAGTTTGTAAAGTGTAAAAAACTGTAAAAGACTTTGAGGAATGGGATTTTGTTGTTTTTAGTAAATTTAATTTTTTTTCCCCCCTCTTCCTCTTTTCTCTTCCTATAGCAGTAAGAAGGTGGAGTCTGAGGGTGGGGCTAGCGCTGCTAAGAAGGATTCCAAGAGGAAGAGAGAGTCGTCAGTCAGCGACGAGGTGGAGGTGAAGTCTCCGCCCCCCTCACCTCCAGAAGAAGAGGATGACGATGGCGTGCAGGTACGGGCCGCACACTAGAAAGGCAGTGCTGTTTGAACTTTCCAGTCCATATAAATAAAACTCCAGAGGATTCAAAGTCATTGCTGATGTTGTGCTGCAGAAGGCAGCCATAAAAACTTTGCAGATCCCTCAGTGTCACAGCCTGTAGCAATAGAAGGCATCTGCTGTTTGTGTTGTAAACCAGTTTGTTGACAGACCAAGCAGACAGGTCCCACTGCCAAGTTCACATGAGCAGCACTTTTTAGCAAGATTGAAAATGTACTCATTTTACTTGTATTTTGTTTGGAAGTTGCTCTTTTTGAAGAACCAGCAGAACTCTATTATTCCCTCCTCAAACACATCCATTTTTTTAATGCGCAAATGTGATTATATGGGCCATGTAAACAGAGCAGCATCTGGCTATTAGCTGCATAAAGAGTCGTGGCTCTCATTCAAATAAGAAAGCACCTCAGTAGCAGTACATCCTCTTTAGCCCATTCACTACAGCATGTTTTTTTTTTTTACACATTATTTGGCAACATTTTGAGCCAAGCAAATTGGGTGATGTTTTCTTCAAAGTCAATATAGGAAACACGCTGGACCATATGGAACAGAAGAATGAATGAGAATGAAGTCTGTTTCTTTGAGGACAGCCTGGTGAATGATAAACAGACCTATAGTTTCCTGTCTGCATCTCTGATTTAATATAGCTTAATATACTATCCTCCCTCTTTGGAGATGGTTTTTATTTTTTCATTTACATTAGAGGATTTTTTAATGAAGTGAAAGGGATATGGTGACAAGTCATCCAGTTGCTGAGCTGGACGGGTTACAGAACTACAGCCGATTAACAAAACCTTTCTGTCCCTCATTCCCGTCAAACAGAAGCGTCGCTCCAGCCGTCAGGTGAAGAGGAAGAGGTACACAGAGGACCTGGAGTTCAGGATCTCTGATGACGATGACAGCGGTGACGACTCACCGGCACCTAAGTCCCCATCATCATCACAACAGCAGGTACAGCTCTGCTTTCTGTCATTGGTTTAGAGTGTGTGGCCACAGTCTGACGTTGCAGATCTTCAGACATGGCAGAATTGAATGATATGAGTATGTATACAGAAAGAACTCCCACTGAGGTATCCATCTCTGAACTATATTTGGGGAGATACCTTGACGTTTTTCTGCCAGCAAACATTCCCGTCTATCTAGTGCATCTGTAAATATTTCCTCGATAAAATTAAATTGAGTATTCCATGAAGATTTTATGCACCCCTAACACATGGCATTAGAAAGTAAAAGTTCCTGCCTCTCCTTTATAAGATTTCTAACGTTTTCTTTTTGTGTCTACAACAAAAACAGTCAAGTACCAAAAGCTGGCATCAAGTGTGTGTGTGGTTAGCTTTAGCCCAATGTGCAAAGAGAGGACAAAAGCAGTAGTTTCTCCCACCTCCTTTTGTTAATTTCAAGAGGAATCTGACTAATTTTGAACCCGGTGGCATAAAAATAACTATATAGAAATAGCCAGGCTTCTCGCTGATGGTCTTGTTTGTTAATGTAGATCATATAGAGGAATCTGAAACCACTTAAAAACTGCTTGTAGTACTTCTAAATGTACAAATATTCTTAAAAATCCAACAATACTAGCACTCGCTACCAGCATTTTGTTTTGTCCAGTGACATCCAATGATAGTGAAAATGCAAAACACATTACGTTTGCCATGTCAGTTTTACCTGAAGAAACAGTGAGTTGGGAATGGCTTTATCTTTGACAAAGACATCACGTTTCAGACCTGGGTTTAGAGGGATTCTTTATCAGCAGCTGGATCAGGAATGTGTGACAGGCTGGATGACGCTCCATCATTTAAGTTGTTCTGTGTGTTTTCCAGGATGTGGCCGAGGCTGAGGGGCCTGTTGTGGAGAAGATCATGGGCACCCGCAACACCAAGAAACAGGTGAGATACTCTCTCTCACACACACACACACACACACACACACACACACACACACGACTGACACAATACAGAGACATAAACACACGGACACTCTGGCTCGAGTCATGGTTTACGTCATCTGATTAGCTGCTCCACAGCTGGCCTAAGCAGATTATACACACACACACACACACACACACACACACACACACACACACACACACACACAGCTCAGGCAGCGTGTATTCACTTGGTAAGCGGAGACAAGAGTTCTTGTATTTTAGTGTGCACGTGTGTGTGTGTGTGTGTGTGTGTGTGTGTGTGTGTGTGTATTTGGTTGACTGTGTGTATGTGTGCGTCTACCCGGCTTTGTTTTAGACCGCTCGTCTAAAGAAAGCTTATCCCTGAGCCAACACGCACATATAGTCACCAGCCAACTTTCCTTTGCTAGCCAGCTGCCAATGGGTTACCCCCCACCCACCCACACACACACATCCTCACAGCTCCATTCAGAGTTGACCCTGGGCTTGGCGTACAGCCAAAACCACAATGCTAGCTACGCCAGACGCCAAGCTAGCGTTTCCTCAGGCAGGGTGTGTGTGTGTGATTGATGATTCATGGCATTACAGTAGTAGTAGCGTGTGTGTGTGTGTGTGTGTGTGTGTGTGTGTTGCAGTAGTAATGGTGAATGGAAGTGGACGGCTGTGCTTGAAAGAGCTACTGTTTTGGTATTTCCCCTTTCACACACTATGACTATTAATCTGCTTCTAGAATTTAGTTAAATTTGTTCCTATTCCCCCCCAAAAAAACCCATCAAAATGTTTTAAAAATTTCCATCTACTTCAGCCTTCATTCACATTCGTCCTTTATGTTGTAACAAAACCAGCAAATAGCTGAGAGCCAGGCGAGATATGAATGAAACAATACGTTCCCTCAGTGCAAGGATGTCAAGCAGTGAGATTCAGTGTTGACTGACATGTCAGTGTGAAACTGGTATGCAGGCTCCTTCTGCGCCACTTCACTAATTCAACCACATGTTGTATAACAATGACAAGCCACTTCTGCTCTTTCACTATGCAGTTGCTATATTTGCTGTGATTATTAACCTTTTTTTTCCTTTTCAGCTGGAGTCGGGGGATGAAGTGGAGGTGGAGGAGTTCTACGTCAAGTTCAAGGGCTTGTGAGTAACGTGCTATTTTTTTCTCCATCTCTTTTGTCTTTCACAAGAGGGCTTCTCTATTTTTTTACACTTATTTTCAACACACACACCATGGTGTCCATAAGTATGAAAAGCTCAGTATATTGAACCTGAAAGCCTTATTCCCTTTCTGTTACCATGAGTTGAGTGATATATTTGTGCCACTGGTGCATCAATAACACAAAAGTGGTAGTAGGAGTCACATCCTGTCGTATTGCTAAACACGCATGGTATTTCTGTCCAGCTTTTGTCATAGTGGTCATTTGTTCAGCTAGCACACATTTCATCTGTGTCTATTCAGACTACAATCAAATGAGATTTAAGCAGCATGTCGAATACACAAATTTGACCGTGTGGCCTGCAAATAAATGTGGGCTGACATTCTTAACAGATTTGAGAAACAAGGTGGTTAGCCTGAAGTCACAAAGTCTCTTCTTATACAGATTGTGATTTTAGGCCTATTACTGAATATAATAATAAAAATACAAGGTGAACTTTTGCCTTTATGGCTGATTTTTCTCCTGTTTTGGCCTGTTAAGTTAAGACGGAAGAAGCTTATCACACATGGCAACGTCAAAATAATGGCGTAACCCTAACCTTATTGTTTACATGTGGTACTCAGCCGCTGCTCTTTGAAGTCCATAAAACCACCCTCTGATACACTGACACTTTAGACCAGGGCTGCAACTAATGATTGTTTTCTCGATGCACTGATTAATCATGTACCCTATAAAACCCATTTTATGTCCTCTAATGTGTTGTTTTGTCTGATTAACGCTCCAAAACGAAATAATTTCAGCTCTTCCTCCACTTTGACTGCAAACTGCTTCTTTGATCAAGGAAGTCTTCCACATCTCCCCAAAAACATAAATGAATTACATTAGTAGACATACATGATACACACCTCTGTAAAAGAGAGCATCCAAATTTGCCACAAAATCTACTGTATAAAATGGTTGCGAGGTGTAGCTGATCCCTTAATGAAACGGCGATCTTCTCAGTTGTAAATAGTACATACTTTAGTGTCCACATGTTGGAGGATTCCTTCCATTTACATAAGATGGCCATAAGAGAGCAAAAAGCAACAGTATCAGCTTGTCAGCATCCTGGGGATTCTCTCAAAATGGACAAAGTCCAAAACATGTGGTACATAGTGGCCGAGGACTGAATCTCTGTCTGTTGTGTCTCAGTTCGTACCTCCACTGTCGCTGGGCAGACCTGGAGGAGCTGGAGAAGGACAAGAGGATACACCAGAAGGTGAAGAGGTTTAAGGCCAAGCAGCAGCAGATCAATAGCTTCATAACAGAGGTAAGCTCTTACAGGTGTGAAAATCAGATTTTTTGATTTTGTTTTCTTCTTGTCATAACGGAGCATTCATAGATACTTGTTTGTCTTTTTTTTAATCTTTATTATCTCACTAAAGTTTATACAGAACATCATTATACAGACAATAAGTGTCACTGATCAGAGAGAACCCCAGAATTTCACATAGTTCAACAGCTTAAACCTTTTGAACATGGAAAAAGTAGACCAATTGAAATGGTAAATGCTCAGAACACATTCCATTTCTTCCCCAGTCATACACTGTGAACATGAAATCATTTGGCCTCACCCTAATACCCGCAGTAAGCCGACCTATCGTAAAACCGTCTCTGTGCTTCTAACAGTAAAACTCCACTTGCTTTCTCCCCAGATGGACGATGAGCCTTTTAACCCGGACTATGTGGAGGTGGACCGTGTCCTGGACGTTTCAGAGAGCACAGATGAAAACGGAGAGGTGCTTTGATCTCTTCCTGTCATCTTTCATGGGTTTGAGCCTCCTCTCCCTCTCCACACACACTCACCTCCCTCCCTGTCTCTGTGTGCAGACGGTGACCTTATATCTGGTGAAATGGTGCAGTCTGCCTTACGAAGACTCCACCTGGGAGCTGAAGGCCGACATCGACCAGTCCAAGATAGAGGAATATGAACGCATCGCAGCACGCACACCCAACACTAAGAGAGTGGCAAGTATCTGTGTGTGTGTGTGTGTGTGTGTGTGCGTGTGTGTGTGCGCGCGCTGTCGTTGGTGGCTATCTGTCTCCCAGCCTCCTCCCAGTAGGCGTGTGCATGTGTGTGTTTGTGTGTGTTGGCCTACTGCCTGCTCCTTCCTCCTCCAGATTTACAGCTCCCTTAACTGCTCTCCACAGGGCCACGTTCTTGTGGTCTTACACACTCACACACACTCACACACACTCACATACACACGCCCTGCTCTTGCGGCCAGGCCAAACCACTAACAGTGTGTTTAATGCTGAACAGAAGCAGCTGACTGGCTGTGGTCTTTCCATCCATCACTCCTTTCTCTGCCTGTGTCCATTTATTTAACTGCTGCTTACTGTTTCTCCTTAAAGACCATGTTAGAAATTCTCCATCACACAGAGGCAGTGTTTTGATATTTCTATTTAGATAGATTTGTAATGCTTTTGCCACGCTAGCAGCACAGCTTGAGGGATGGACTAACAGAATCAGCTCCGCAGCTATTGGGCCCATTGTGGCAGACATTCATCTTCCCCAGACGATGAATCCTGACGACTCTGTTGGTCAACTTGTCATCAATTTAGTGCATGACAAGATTCCTCAAACAGTCCCATGTATAAGATTTTTCCTGTGGAATAACACACCGGTCTGCAACCTTTACAACATCTATGTCCTAACACTAATGTTTTAATTTGCCTTGATGTCGTTAAGTAACCCCTAATAATAATTTGTGCGTCCAGGATCGGCCTCCTGCAGCCGACTGGAAAAAGCTGGAGGGCTCCAGGGAATACAGGAACAGCAACGCACTCAGGGAATACCAGCTGGAAGGCCTCAACTGGCTGACCTTCAACTGGTACAACTCGTAAGTCACCATTAACTTTATTTTGTTAGAATTAGTCCCTAACTGCTGCTGCCGGGCTGTACATGCAGTAGCACCTCATTTAATAGTCTAAAGTGGACATTAAGTGGCCCTGTAGCATCGTGTGGTTTAAGTTTTCCCACCGGCGCCATCTCTGCATGGAAAGTGTTCTGATAGTACCGTAAGAGTCTTCAGACAAACATCTTCATTGAGGAGCACAAATCTTACTGTTAGAGGGTAAATACTACTTTTCTGGAATGTCATTGAAATATCAGAGCTGTACTTCTGGACTGGAAAATCCAATCAAATCTAAACATGACAGGTCACTTTTCCAGCAATATAGCATCAAGTATTTTCCAGCTTGTCTCACACGTTTTTTGCATCAGATCGCTGGAGTGGAAAATCGACTGCCTCACCCCTTTTGAAAAAACAGCATTAATAAACCAAAAGGGGAAAAAAGGTCTTTTTAGATCATGGAAATGGATCGACTTAGTCATGCAAAAGTTATGATGTCACCGCGGGAGTAGTCTTTGGTACCTGGTTTGTGGGCTTTGGGGTCTCTACCAGTTTAGTGAAATACAAATGCAATCCGTCTGTTTTGAGTCTCTCATTCACTCTGTCCACATCGTTTGTCCTAGACGTAACTGTATCTTGGCTGACGAGATGGGTCTAGGAAAGACCATCCAGTCCATTACATTCCTCTATGAGATTTTCATGAAGGGCATTGAGGGGCCATTCCTGGTCATCGCCCCGCTCTCAACCATCCCCAACTGGGAGAGGGAATTCAGAACCTGGACTGAGCTCAACGCGGTGGTCTACCACGGCAGCCAGGCCAGCCGCAAGACCATCCAGGCCTACGAGATGTACTACAGAGATGCACAGGTAAACAGGATGAGATAGATGGTATTAGCTGCTGTTGGTTTAGAAAAATGTAAAATGGAGGATGATCAGTATAGTAGAAGTAGAAGGTATAAGTAGGTGATGCCATTATACATTAAGTTATTAAAGTTTGAAAAGAGCAGTTAAGTTTGCATTATAAACAAATAAATGTTCAATTTTCAAATAGAGCTAGGACTAGCGCTTCAACTAAAGATTATTTTCATTATCTATTAACCTGTTGATTTTCATTTTCTCAATGAGTCGATTAGTTGTTTGGTTCATACATGTCACAAACTGGTGAAAAATGCTTTCCAAATCCCAATGTGACATCTTCAAATGTGTTTCAGGAATCCAAATCAGATCAGTAGGCTACTGGAAGTGTTCAGACATTGCATTAGCTGTGTGCTACAAGAGCATAGCTATATGCTGTCTGTTGTGATTTTAGCTTGATCAACAAGAGTGTTTCAAGAATTTGCCATCTTACGAATGTCTTTTCCCAGTTTTGTTTATACATTTCTATGTAAAATAAGCCTGATTTACATTGGTCAGAATGTAATCCTAGATGGTAGCTTAACCTAAATTGTGTCAACACCATCTTAAAAAGTGTATATTATAAATAGAAAGGGGGACTAAACAGAATGTGGACTGCTGTCACTAAAGAAGGATCACACTGCGGCAGCTCTGTATGACAAATAACCAGGATGAAGAGGATGAAGCTGTAGAGTAGATGGAAGTAATGAGATGTCGTTGTGTGAGACAGTCAGCAGATCTGAACACCTCCTCAGCCACAGGGAAATCTTCAGCCAGCTGGGCTGCTGGACAGTGCTCCTCTGCTGCATAAGCTCTTTAGAGTCCCCTAGCTGTAAGCCACATACTGTAAGCTCCTATTGTACAATGCTGCTAACATCTGAGTGTAACCCAGTGAAGAAAATAAGCTGTAGTAGCGGTGTCCTTGCTAGCTGCTTGTTCATAATCCAGACTGAGGTAATCCTCAAGGTCGCAATGGGCGTCGTGTCCTTTTCTCCCGTAATGCCTGCTTCACTACGTAGAGAAAGGACACACCAAAACCCTCCCAGTCTGCATTGTGTATGTCTGCCATGTCTTAAATGGATTGCAGATTTTGATAATTTAAGGGAGAGTTTTGTTGTGTATTTGACATGGTTTTTAAAAACAGAAAACGGGTACAAAAAGGTTTCCTTGGCTTAGTAGAAAGTGCAATGACACCAACCAGTTACTACAGTGAATATACTATAGCACTATAGATGGTAGAACTACTATAAGCCCAACTTTATCTTAAGCATCTATTTTAGGGCTTTTCTTGGCTTTTCCTCACAGTTATGGAGCTGTTGTGGCCCACAGCCAATGTCTTATACTTTTGGCCTAAAAGTGATCCACAGGGTAAGATAAAGGAGTTGAAGACGAGGACATTTTTAGATTATTCTTACTGACCTTCTTGTTCTCCCTCTCCCTTCGCCCCTCCAGGGTAAGATAATAAAGGGAGTTTATCGGTTCCACGCGGTGATAACAACCTTTGAGATGATTCTGGCCGACTGTCCAGAGCTCCGCAGCGTGCCGTGGCGCTGCGTGGTGATAGACGAAGCCCACCGCCTCAAAAACCGAAACTGCAAACTACTGGAAGGACTCAAAATGATGGACATGGTGAGTGGTGGCTATGGTAAAAGGAAAGAAGCTATTATTACATCATGCTTGTCAAGTCTATCATATGGTCTCAGAGGTAATAGTACTTAAGCTCAAGGCTTTTAAAAGCCTACAATACAGTTTAAGATATGTCTTGGCAGGTTCTTGGCACACTGGAGTGCAGGTTGATGTAAATAAAACATTTTGTCTTGCAGGATTTTTGGTAGTTTTTCAAAGGTCTTGTAGAAACTTGAGAACACTTTGTATCAGAGTATCAGTGCCATGTTAACACAATCTCTCTCCTTCTCTGTGGATTAAAGTCATTCTGACAAAAGACATCCTGTTTTCAATTTTAGAAACTCTAAATATCTCTTTCCTGTCTCTCCCCCTCCTCCAGGAGCACAAAGTTCTGTTGACAGGAACTCCTCTCCAGAACACTGTGGAGGAGCTCTTCAGCTTACTCAACTTCCTAGAGCCTGAGAGATTCCCGTCGGAACAGACATTCATGACTGAATTTGGAGACCTTAAAACTGAAGAACAGGTAAATGGAGGACTCAGTCTGTGAAACAGGACAAGATTGTCATCTTTTATGACTTCCGTGCTTCCCCATTAGATGAATGAAGCGTTAACATTGCGTCTGTGTGCGTGTCTCAGGTTCAGAAACTGCAGGGCATCTTAAAGCCCATGATGTTGAGAAGACTGAAGGAGGATGTAGAGAAGAACCTGGCCCCTAAGGAGGAGACCATCATTGAGGTAGGTCTCATCATAGATGTTGGTGTCAAATACTCTTTCTGCTATTCTGCCGATGTTGTCCATTCTGCTGTCAAACATAAAAAATAGCGCTCACTAGAATCTGTTCATTTCACATTGCTGAGAGGTGTTGGAAATGTTTCAGGAGAGGAAGTAATTGATTCGACTCTTTCCGTCATCAGGTGGAGCTGACCAACATCCAGAAGAAATACTATCGAGCAATTCTGGAGAAGAATTTCTCCTTCTTGTCCAAAGGAGGTGCAGGGGGAGGAGGAGGAGGAGGAGGAGGCAGTGGTGGTGGCGGGGGAGGCTCCAGTGTCCCCAACCTCCTTAACACCATGATGGAGCTGAGGAAATGCTGCAACCACCCCTACCTCATTAACGGTACACACGCGCCCAAAATTAAATGAATTAATTATTCTCCAAAACAAACCTTTTTAATATTCCAAATATCATCTTGTCTCCTGATTTAATTTGAATCGTTCTCTCTCCTCCAGGAGCGGAAGAGAAGATAGCAGAGGAGTTTAGGGACTCCCACGGGACAGACATACCGGATATGGCACTCCAAGCCATGATTCAGGCCGCTGGCAAACTGGTGCTCATTGACAAGCTGCTGCCCAAACTGAAGGCTGGTGGACACAGAGTCCTGGTGTTCAGTCAGATGGTCCGCTGTCTGGACATCCTGGAGGACTACCTCATCCAGAGACGGTGAGAAGAGAGAAAATTAAAGATCAGCTCCAGACATGTATTAATAAATCTTGCTTGGGACGTGTGCGTGCGTGCGTGCGTGCGTTATTTTCACAAAAAGTGAACCTACGGTGAGTATAACTTCCACTGTAAAATCCTTTATAAAGGCCTCTACTTCTTCAACAATATCTGACTATGCAAATGTTGAAGTTTTCCTGCTGGACACAAGATGTCTCCTACTTCACTGTAAAGTCCATTCTCAGTGGATGTGCACTGGTGGCTTCAGGTTTCTACATCACACTGTACAAGTTGCATTCTGTACCATATATTTACCGAAATTACACAGCTGCCCAAGCTGCAGAAGATATGCAGTGTTGGTTGAATATGTATCTGACACTGAAATAAGAGCTGTAGCTACTAAATGTGATGCACCTTAATCACCGCTACTTTATCCACATATTCCAAACTAAGTTATAATAATATAAAATAATTATTAACAAAGTTAATAATCTTGAATTGTTGATATGATATAAAGGACAGTTTAACTGTGAGGATGCGACTCTTGACATTGACTGTACTACAGTGTTGACTCGTGTGGGAATGCTGGCAATATAATGCTGCTGACAACAATTCACACCTTTCCTACCACTCTTTCCAGATATCCCTACGAACGCATAGACGGTAGAGTCCGCGGCAACCTACGGCAGGCGGCCATCGACCGCTTCTCCAGACCCGAGTCAGACCGCTTCGTCTTTCTGCTGTGCACGAGAGCCGGAGGACTAGGCATCAACCTGACTGCAGCAGATACCTGCATCATTTTCGACTCTGACTGGAACCCTCAGAACGACCTGCAGGTACAAACCACAAGATGCTTTTTTTGTATTAATTGTTCTAGTTCTACTTAAGTGACATTTGACATGTGACATTGAGACCCCTGTACTGTAGAGTCCCTCAGGGCAGCAGGCTCGGAGATCAGACTGTATGCTGGATGTAATGAACTCTACGCATTTAGCTCTGGTTCAGCAGACCGTATCATTAGTCCTCTGCTGTAACCTCCTGCTGCATATGCTCCTGTGGACTGTAGACCAGTGTTTCTGAATCTCTGGATGCGTCCTCCTCCAGGCCCAGGCTAGGTGTCACCGTATTGGCCAGTCCAAGGCGGTCAAGATCTACCGCCTGATCACCAGGAACAGCTACGAGAGGGAGATGTTTGATAAGGCCAGTCTGAAGCTGGGGCTCGACAAGGCTGTCCTTCAGAGCATGAGTGGACGAGAGAACGCCAACAGCGGGGTGAGACGCATCACATACACTCACATCAATCACCTATCCAGTCCCTATTGATGATTGTTGCCAGATATTTTCATAATCAACACATTTTTTCATTTTTCTTACACTCAACATTTGCTGCTTTACAAATGTAAAGAGTTGCTGGGTTTTTTTTGTCATGTATGATAGGAAATGTGGAGTCTTTGGGTTTTGGACTGTTGGTTGGACAAATCAAGCGATTTGAAGACATTGCTATTGGCTCTGAGAAATATTGATTAGCGTTTTTAACGCTTGTTTGGCATTTCATAGACTAAACAATCAATTACTTGTATAATAATAATCGAACATGAAAAATAATCATTAGTTGCAGCTCTAGTTAGAAAACCCCTCTTTGGGTACATCCCTGATCCCTTTCTTACAGCACTCAACGGGGCACCCAAAACCCCAAATCAGAGAGTATTACACCTTACAGAACCAAAATAAAACTAAAGCTAAAATGTTTTGACTCCATATTTGTATACTCACTGACAACACTTAATATTTTTCATGGAATAAAATGTGTTTGTTCCTATTCAAGGTCCAGCAGTTGTCCAAGAAGGAGATCGAGGACCTTCTAAGAAAGGGAGCGTACGGAGCTCTGATGGACGAGGAGGACGAAGGCTCAAAATTCTGTGAGGAAGACATCGACCAGATCCTCCAGAGACGAACACACACCATCACCATAGAGTCTGAGGGCAAGGGCTCTACCTTTGCTAAGGTACAGACTTCATTCTGTTCAGTAAAAAGTGTGTCAGAATGACCCCCTCAACTGTGATCTCCTGGCATTGATCATCTCCTCTGTCTGCAGGCCAGTTTTGTTGCAACAGGTAACCGAACAGACATTTCTCTGGAGGATCCAGACTTCTGGCAGAAATGGGCCAAGAAGGCCGAGCTGGACCTGGACGCCATCAATGGACGGGTATTTACACGTTATTTCACACGTACAACTGCACAGATGTACTGTGAACACAAATACCTTTAATGTAAAACCCACCCAAGAACAAACGCAAGCCACAGAGACTGTATAATCACACTGTGCGTCCATGTATTTTGGTGCACACAAACTCTTACACACACATTTGTTGGTGTCCCCATATGGAAAGGGGACTAACGGTGGTAATTAGTGCTATCACCACAAGCTAGGAGGAGGAAAGTGAGACAGACTGAGAGAGGGAGACAGAAAGATCAGGAGGGAGGCAGAAAGAGAGAGAGCGAGATTAATATTGACAGTTGGGAATCTCCTCTCTTCCTTAATTACCCATGTTTCCCTGCTCTCGTGTGTGTGTTTGAGCGAGAGAGAGTAAGCTGCTTAGCTCCACTTAACAGAGCGCAGATGCCTGGAGGGTACAGAGATATCACTTAGGCTAGTGCTCACACACACACACACACACACACACAAACCCAAGCTCCTTCACATTCTTACACACATGGAGCGCTCTGTTAACAGGCATCTTTATATTCCTGCTTTCCTTCCCTCGCTATATTTGTTCACTGTTTTTAAAATTTGTGCATTTGTCCCCCCTGATTTCTTTGCGCTCCCTCGCCGCCTCTCTTGTTGAGGGCCCTCCACTGGAACACTTAATCCAGCCCTACGAGCATGAATCTGGGCCGCTCCCCTGGGATTTCTTATTGTCTGATGTTAAAATGGAAATGACTGCAGTGCTCTGTGATAATTGTGGAACTAACTACTGCCCTGTTTGTGCATATTAATAGGATTGCGAGGGGGGGAAATCAAATTAATTGAACAAAAATGTAATTCATTAGACAACATAATTAATGCCAGTTTACGTTTGAGCTGGGCACCAATTTTCTCAGTATAAGGAATGAAACACAGGGCCAAATATCCAATTAATCCGATTTTGTACAGATGATGCCATGTATTCACAGGGTTCACACTAGTCATAGAAGTCAGAATAAACAAGAAATGAACAAACAGGCCACTCCACCGGCATAAAGCAGAAGGCGCTTTGCATATTGTTGTTGGTAGATTTCAGGCCATCTGTAATTGAAACCAGGTTCTTAGTAAATAAAAAAAAATAAAAAACACACACATTACCAGAAGGGAAGAACAACTATAACGTTGTCATTGAATTCGCCTCCAGAACACGCTGGTGATTGACACGCCGAGGGTGAGGAAGCAGACGCGGCACTACAGCAGCGTCAAAGAGGACGAGATGCTTGAGTTCTCTGAGCTGGAGAGCGACGACGACGAACCAAGCAAACCCTCATCCAAACCACGACGACCCCAAGACAAAGCCCAGGGCTACCCCAGGTCTGAGTGCTTCAGAGTGGAGAAGAACCTGCTGGTCTACGGGTCAGTCACATATTGATGTTTTCTACCCAAAAACCAGACAATAAACAGTGTTGACCACTGGCTCTTTTACAAAAATGGCTATAATTAGGGCATAAAATCTGTTAATGAACCTTTTCTTTTTTTATTCAGACTTCAGTATGTTTAAGAGAGAAAATATCCTATGTTTTAAACACATAATTAAATGAAAGAGTGCTCTGGAATTTTTTCTTTGTATACAACAGTTAGCAAAGTTTGGAAAATGCCATAATTTGCTTTCTTTTCTTGCCAACATTAAGACGAGAAGATTGATACCCCTCATAGCCTAAATATGAAGCTACAGCCAGGAGACAGTTAGCTTAGCATAAAGACGGGAAACATTGGGTAAACAGCTAGCCTTGCTGCTTGTAAAAGACGTGGAGTCATGCTGATGGGTGGAGTTCATCACTTGGCCTGTGTGTTGTGTGTGTGTGTGTGTGTGGTGTGTGTGTGTGTGTGTGTGTGTGTGTCTGTGTGCTAGAGCACAGAGTTAATGGGTGCAGACCTGCGCATGGAGTGATTTAGTAGACAGAAATCTTTGCACTCAAGGCCATCAACACATAGCCACTAATCAGAGCTGCCTGTAAACACACCCATGTGCACACACTTATATTCAAAATGCATGCATATTTTAGTGCACATGAAGTGACCTTGGAGAGCTCACATACACACAACTGACTATTGTTAAGCATGTCACATGCACATTTTTTTTAAAGAAAGTCCACTGAAATTATATTTAGGGAATTTTACTTCAAAATCGTGATCCTTAAAACATTCAGTTTTTGTTAAGAAAATGCTTGTACATACTTATAACTGTATTTATTGAGATGTAAACAGGGCGTCAGTAGAGTCTTAAAGTCTGAAATCCAATCATCCAAATTTTATCCCTTAAAATGTGTTAATGATTTTTGACAAGTCTTGATTGATTGGATTAATGAAGTGAATGTATAAAGTATAAAGTTTATATACTTGTATAAAGTAAAATTTTTCAGCCTTGCCTTTTAAATGTGTTTTTGGGAAATGTATGTATTAATCATTCTTCAACAACTACAAAAAGAAGCCAAGATCACACCAGTACTGATTTTTCTTCATATCCTTTGTACTTTTTTGCCAGTATGGACATAAAATGCCTCTTAAATTGCATTCAGTGTCTAAAATGTAACCATGTTCAAGCTTGCAAAAACCCTGTCTCAAGAACAATATTTAATTTGAGATTCTATTAATCTGTGCTGTGACAGAAGAGTATCTTAACTCAGAGCTCTGCTAGTGCATGATAACAGCCTTTAAAGATACGAGTACATTACACTGCACACACAGGCAAATTGACACACTTACCACAGATAGTGATTATCGGGCGAGCCCCATCCATTTTCATGGCTGACTTGGCGTGTGTGTGTGTGTGTGTGTGTGAAGAAAGGACAGTGGTGCTAGTGAGATGTCAGCGTTGTTATTGTTACAGTCTAGTCTCGTGGCCTGGGGCTGTAGGACACAAAAACACACTGTCTGACTGGGCCTGTCCTCTCTGCTTAGCGCTCTGTTGTCTTTTCCCATCATCCATCTCTCTCTCGCCTGTCCTCATCCACCATTTTACCCTGTCTAAAATCATTCACAGTAAGACCGGTTCACATGGTTCACTGAAGATTAGGAAGCAGCAGTGGAAAAAAAAAAAGAATTCAGTGTAGAACAAGACAGTCTGAGGGATATTGTCCACCACATCAGCCTTTAGGGTCGCTTGCTCTCTGGAGGTGGTGGTGGGGGGAGTTGGGCTGTGATCCATGAAACACGCACAGAGGGATGCCTGGGTGGCACTAGTTAGGGTGACAGTAACAGTTAAGTCAACGGACTGGTAAAATGTATAATGAGCGCCGTGTGAGAGAGTGTGATGTCTGGGCTGATGAGACAAATGATGTGGATTTGTGTATGTATTCATTAAAGATCAGGTTTATGTAAACCATGAAAGTAATGTAGTGCTGAATTAGGAATAGTATGATTTCAAAGTGTAGTTTGGTCCAAAGCATCAAAACAAGAAGATGGACATTTTAGTGACAACTTAAAAATCTGAGTTGTGATGCATTTATTTGAGCAGTAGATTAGGAGTAGGTGCTATCCGCCAGCTTAAAAACTATTAGTCATCTCATATTCCGTCCATGCTTTAATGTATCACGATACAAAAGTACCATTTAGAAATGACAACTGAAGACCTTTAGTATATTGTGTTACCATTATTTTGTTATGGTATATCATTATTACAATATATTATTAGTAGTATAGTTTGATTGTATGATATACATTGTTGTGTTACATTTTTTAACTTGAAGATGTGTTTGTCCTCTATATCAGTGAATACAGTTTATGGTACAGTGTTGTGAAGTTCTAGCTTTTACTTTGGAGTTCTCCTGATGAACAAAGCTGACCCATCAGACAATCTGAAATATGGTTTATTTGTTTGAACAGGGCATTCTAAAATCTAATGCCAATGCTGTGTACTGTTGAACAAATGCTGACCATTTTTTCCTCTCTGTGTCTGTCTTTAGTTGGGGAAGGTGGAGCGACATCCTGGCTCACGGTCGCTTCAAGCGCCCCCTGAAGGAGGCCGACGTGGAAACGATCTGCCGAGCCCTCCTGGCCTACTGCCTGCTGCATTATCGCGGTGACGAGAACATCAAGAGCTTCATCTGGGACCTGATCACCCCGAGTGAGGATGGGACCACCAAGACGCTGACCAACCACTCAGGTATTGACCGAATTTTTAATACCATCTTTGAGTACTTGACATTTTGCAATACTTTCTAAGGTTATTGAGTGTTACCCCATTCAGATAAGTGAACCCAGTTGAATCGATGACCGCTGATGCTCGTCCAGGAAGCACAAGATATATTAAAAAAAAAGGAAAATAAAATAAAAATAATGGAAATACTTTAATAAGGTTTACATGTTGTCATTTGTTACCTAACCGCCTTCTCTTCAGGTCTCTCCACCCCAGTCCCCCGGGGTAGGAAGGGCAAGAAGGGGAAGCCCCAGGCCCCGCCTCCGCAGACCCCACGAGCTGATTGGCTGGCCAGCTGCAATCCCGACCACTTACTGCAAGAGGATAGCTACAAGAGACACCTGAAACATCACTGTAACAAGTAAGGCTCTCTCATTCACACACCTGAAACACCATGCTATCCAGTGTCTGACACATGCTATTAATAGGATTGTTGGTTAAATAAGTATTTGCCAAACTAGTGTGGATGGAACTGTGGCTTTAAATCCAAGACATAGATGCAAGTGGGAGGAGTGATGGTTTCTGAGTCTGGCTCTACAACCGTACACACGGCTCAACTTTAACAGACGCAGCAGCCTCCCTGTCTTCCTCCACACACAAACACACGCATGTTCGCTCTGTGGTCAGCTCTCTCTTCTGTTGTCAGGGAGATATGCTTCCTTGCCCTCCAGATTCAATTCCAAGATTTTTTTTTTCTTGAGGGGGGAAGTTTGTTTGTTTGTGTGTGTGTCTGGCTGTGTGCCAGGCCAGGTGCTAGGCAGGCAGACCTGTTGGAAGTGGGTGAAAGACACACACGCACACACACACACACACACACACACACACACACACACACACACACACACACACACTTGGGGGTGATTATGTGGTGCCATCTGCTAGGCTGGAGCACAGTGTTGTGTGGCTAATCAGGCCTGGCACATTGATGGATGAGCACACACAGCCTGCCAACAAACACACACACTGCAACTTGTGATGCCATTGATGCACAAACACACACACTGCAGAATGAGTTGCAAATGACTGTCTTTATACCCCCCCTCTCCTCCTCCTCCTCTTCACTGCCTCTCCAAACTTTCTGTTCCCTCCCTTCCAGCACAGCTCTCTGTCCTTTCAATTCTTCTCCTCTTTGCTCCTCCCACTCATCTCCTCCTCCCAACCCCCCCACCTCTCCCCCTCCTCTGTCTTCTGCTCCAACCGCCGTTATTGGCATTAAATCCTGGTGACAAATCTGGTGACAAATGTTTACATTGAAGCAGATCTTCCAGATAGCAGAATCTTCCAATGTCACAAGATCAAATCTGACTCTCACTCTTGAACCATGACTGAAGTGATTCATTTCACTGCGGGAGGCGCTGGAAGAATGATTCTGACCAAGAACATCTGTAATTTGTATCCGGAGAAGATGACCATGTATTGGACAGCAGTAGTACAGACAACGCTGAAATGCAGTAATGAGTTATAGTTCTTGCCACCAATATGTCAACAGGAGAAAACCTCAGGACATTTTCCATCTGAATAGTTTTAGATCAGAGATCCTGTTCACAGTGCTCCAGCACCTTTCCATTACTCACTAAAGCACATCCTCCAGTGGAATCACTCTGAATATTGTCCTATTGGTAATGAAATATCTATCAGACAAGACAACAAGAATGCAGTAGAATATATTTCCCTACTAGTTTTTACAAATGAATTGCATTCGATGGTTGTCAAAATACAGTACTACTATATAAGAACTGACCTGAGTCAGTGTAATCTTTAGAGCTGAATCATTTATCAAGTTTATTGATAAGTCAATCAACAGAAAACAAATCTTCCACAATGTGTGTAATTGATAAATCATTTAAGTCATCCAGTGAAATGCCAAACCTGTCTATTTTATGTCACAGTGAACAGTGACTGCTGGTCAGACCAAACAATGTGAAGGTGTCACAGGCATCTGTCTGTTTTCTGATGTTTAGCATAGATTTAGAATTGAAAACAAATTCTAAAATAATAACAACAATGCACAAAAATAAGCTTGCCTGTGTTGAGCTAAATGAGTCAGCTCTACTAAAGGACAGTTTCACTAACTTTACCTTTTTACATTTTGCAGGGTGTTGCTGAGGGTGAGGATGCTGTATTATCTGCGACAGGAAGTCATAGGCGACCAAGCTGAGCGCATCCTAGAAGGAGCCGACTGCAGGTTAGTGAACTTTCTCCAGGTCTTCATTTTAGTGTCTCTTTTACCACATCCTCCAACCCCGCTGAGGACTGTAGGTGTTTTTATTGTTAACACTACTGATCTTAAAAAGATATGTCTGCATGTGTTGTCAAAGTCAGAATTGGCTGAATTTGGCTTCACAAATCTGATCATCCAACATTTTCTGATGGGAATTTGTAACTTGTCCAAAAAGTTTCCATAAGTTTAGCAACTTGATATTAATCCCAAACCCCCCAAAACCACATCATCCCTCCTGTGCAGCAGAGTATTTTCCTCAGATACAATGTACTAGGTGTTTACATTGAGTGAAAAGGCTTTCATGTGTGAGTTGAGGGATGGATATTTCTGTGAATATGTGATGAATTATTACTAGGGTGTATTTCTGTCTGTTCTAGTGGCCTCTTTGGCAGGGTTCTTCCTATTCTGACGGATACAACACAGTTGAACACTTTATTGGGGGAAAATTAGCTTTTTATCATAATTTTGACCCATTTAGAAGGTGTTTTTTTTTCTCGCATTTTGACAAGCTATTGCTCATTATCATTTGGCAGCAGGCATCACAGTGCAAGGTTGTCGATGTGAAGGTTAACTATACTGCTCACCTTGACTGTTTTCTTCATCTCACTCTGACAACTCCTTCACTGCTTCCTCTGTCTCTTACCACACCACACTTTTTTCCTGCCATCTGTCCATCTCTCCCTCTCTCTGCAGTGCACTTTAGTCTCTCATCATGCCCCATCCCCCTCTCATCACCCTTTCACCCAGATGTGAATGCATTTATAATGTGGAGCACGTGCACTTCAAGTTGATCTCTCCCACTCAGTCCTCTTTCTCCCTCCCCCCTCTCAATGGCGTGTGTGTGTGTGTGTGTGTGTGTGTGTGTGTGTGTGTGTGTGTGTGTGTGTGTGTGTGTGTGTGTGTGTGTGTGTGTGTGTGTGTGTGTGTGTGTGTGTGTGTGTGTGTGTGTGTGTGTGTGTGTGTGTGTGTGTGTGTGTGTGTGTGTGTGTGTGTGTGTGTGTGTGTGTGTGTGTGTGTGTGTGTGTGTGTCAGACATGAGCATACGGGGTGCCATCGTGCCAACATATGCCAGGGGGATTTAGCATGCCAGTCTTGGCGCGCGCGTACGTGTGTGTGTGTTGCCAAGGCCGGGCATGCTGCTGTTTGCAGAGATAAGGGACTGTTTCCCTGGTTTCTTCTCTCCTCCTGTCACCCTCTGTCTTTCTGCTTCCATTGTGTATTGTACCCTTTCTCTCCATAACTAGCTGGAAACACCATTTTCTACCTTCTTCTTTCCATAATGGAGGATTTTGTGGCAGGGGGGCTTTCTGGCGCCACAACATAGAATTTATCCTGCTAAAACCTTAAACTATTCTCAGTCATTTACGTGCATGAAGAATTCTGGTCTTGAGCAGATAACTGGTTGTGGTTGGACTATCATTTTAAAATGGTTGGAGCAACACCTGTAAGCTCATATCGTTTAGGTACTATGACAGTGGCATCAATTTATTCTCAAGTTTGTTTATTTTAAATTGTATCAAGGTATTAAATTGACAAACGACCACAGGGCAGATGATTGATAGCATTTGTCCCGTAACACTGTTGGCGTTCCTAAATTGGCCAGTTGGTATGAATAGATGCACTTAAGGCAGTACTCCACTGATTTAGCATTGCACTCCTATTAAATTCTTTGATCAAAGTCGATGCAGTAAAATCACACACATCGTCCTTTTTTTTTTATTCTATGCATTCTTTGCCTACATTACCCACTATGCAACTTGACCACTAACAGTTTGAATAAAGATGCCAGTGCCATTGTCGAGGGTTATATAGTAACAGCTAATGTAGCCTTGAGCGGCTAGCCTCAAGCTGAGATGTGTATCAGGCAACAGAGGTATTATCAGTCTGATACACTGACAGTCTGTCACAAACACTAAAGGGACCAGACTAACTTGAAATGCTGTAACAATATTCCAGCCCCCAGGCAACAAAACGTTGAGCCAACCTATATTGAATATGCTATATACCAGAATGGATATTGCTATTATTATGGTCTGTAAACGCTAAGTTTTTTCCTATTCACCAGATTCAGGCTAAAATGAGCAGTAATGTCACAGCAGCATTAGCTAGATCAGAGCCTTTTTGGCACAATATATGGTTATTTACTGAAATTTTTTCGGTGCAGTGATTACATAATGAGTCTTTATGTCATTATTCCTTATTTCTGTAGTTTCTGTCACTTACTGCTCATGGATAAACCTGTATAAAAGTTCCCCTTCCCTTTTTTACTAACATGGAGACACTTTGAGGATATCAAAGCTAACTGAACAAGACAACACACAGCTAAAATCTCTGCTTGCACGTTGATGCTCTAAAATATTTTGGATGTTTGTTTTTATCTCTGGCCACCGACTGACTGCTTTTACAATCCGATTACAACACGAATTGCTCGTAATCTGATTTCCGCTCCTGCTTTTTTCGTTGCCCTGTTCTGAATTGAAATACGAGACTGATGCCTAACTGAAGCGAACCGAACGCGCACACACCGTTTAGTTTGATTATCAGTGATTTGATGTGTTTATCTCCTCCACAGTGAGCTGGATATCTGGATTCCCCAGCCATTCCACGCCGAGGTGCCCGCTGACTGGTGGGACAGCGAGGCCGACAAATCCCTGCTCATCGGCGTCTTCAAACATGGTAAAGAAACACACACCAGCGTCCTCACATACTCCCTGTACGTACAGACCCGCATCTTCTAACATGGCAGCCAAAACACTGTGAATGCATGCACGCACACACACACACACACACACACACACACACACACACACACACACACACAACACACACAGACACAGATAACATGTCAGCACCTTCAGACACACTCCAGTGACTTCCATCCCAGTAAGCATCATGCAACATCGTACTCGCACAGACACACAAACGCATCCCACCCACTTCTGCTGCTACTGGTTGATTGGTGTTGCTATGGCGATAGCGGTACGCAGCTGGCAGGCTCAGTGTGCTATCGGAGTGTGATTGATGGCTGGTTTCACCACTGCCTGTGTGTGTGTGTGTGTGTGTGTGTGTGTGTGTGTGTGTGTGTGTCTGATTAGTGTGTTACAGGTGTTAATGTTGTCAACAAAGCTAATCTCAAAGTTGATAAAAACAATCTTTTCTCTCCGTTAACCTGGTTGTTTGGATCAGTATTTGGAATAGTAGCAGTAATCGCCAAGTGACCCACCTATGGGTGCTGACTGGGTGACTGAATGTGACTCCCAGTGACAGACAGATGAGGCAGAGTGTCGTGTGTGTGCGCTGCGGATAGAGGCCCTCATTCATATTAATCTGGCATAATTGTCATAATTTTTCCATCATTGCCACCCTCTATGATTCAATTAGGACACACACAACCACACACACACACACACACACACACAGAGAGAGAGACAGACAGACAGACAGACAGACAGAGGAATACAAAAGGGCTCACCCATAGTTAATCATAATCCTCATTCACTAGGGAGGCCCTGGGGGAAGCGGGGGGGACTAACTCACACACACACACACACACACACACACAGGGAGCTTTGTATGCAGACACACAGGCACACAAAAAAATGCGTCTCACACACACGGAAAAGTGATGGCCTATAAAGGCCCTGATGATTAACGTTTGGCTGCAGGCACAGGGGTGTGTGTGTGTGTCAGAGGAAGGAACAATGCGTCACATCTTTCCTAATTGAAATGTGATGGAGAGAGAAGGAAGGAGGGATGACTGAAAGGTTGAAGAGAAGGCGGTGCAGTTGTGTTATGGTGGCTCTTCGTCTCCTCCTTCCCTTTCCTCCTGTCCTGTCCTGTCCTCTCTTATTCCTTCCTTCTCTCCTCTGCTCTCCTCTCACCCGCTCTTCTGCATTTTCCTCTAATTCCTTCCATTTTTCCTCCCCCCCTCTCCTTTCGCCTTCCCGATGTGTCTCAGTGGGATCTGCACATTCTAATCTGTTCTGCCTGAATGCTCCTAACGGACAAATACACACACACACACACACACACACACACACACACACACACACACACACACACACACACACACACACACAGGCAGTTTCTCACACCCACTAGCTCACTTTCACAGACACCATGACACACACTCTCTTTCTCTCGGTCTCTCTCTCTGCCTCTCTCTCTCTCTGCCTCTCTCACTCTGCCTCTCTGCCACAAATGAGCACCTGCAGGCTCACTTGGATAAGCACACACACACACGTACAGAACGGAGGCAAGTGTATGCATGCACACACACACACACACACACACACAGGCTGTCTGTCTTGTCAGCAGCTGGCTCCTGGGGTCTGCCCTTCTGCTGCTGTTTTTGTCTACTCCTTCATTTAATATTGGAGTGTGTGTGTGTGTGTGTGTGTGTGTGTAGGTGTGTGTAAGCAGTGTGTGCTGGACTGTGTAGCATCATGTCCGTCTAGTTGTGAGCTAGAAAGCGCAACCTTTTTTTTTTTTTCAGCCTTCTTTCTAGGAGTTTGCCTTCAGCTGTAACTTTTTAGCCTAATACTTTGTGAAACCACATTGACTCGGTACTGATTGAAATCCACTTTATAGCCTCCAGACATGCATACCAAGCTTCCCTTTTTCTCATCTCTTTATCTACTACTCCTTTAGGCTATGAGAAGTACAACTCAATGCGAGCCGACCCCGCTCTGTGTTTCTTGGAGAGGGTGGGCATGCCGGACGCCAAGGCTATCGCCGCTGAGCAGAGGGGCTCCGACATGATGGCAGATGGCGTCGAGGGGTAAGAAAGCAGGCCTCAGTCACCAAAAAGCAGCTTCTCTAATGCCCCTTCCGTCTAGTGTTATTCTGCTCAGTTTTTAGTCTTTGCTTCATCACATTTTCACACCTTTTGTCAGTCTCTTCGTGCTCAGATTGTCTGCAGGTGAAAAATACATTTTCATTTAAAGCAAAAAAAACAAAAGGCAGATGCCATGATTGTATAGTAGGCCCAATTATTTATTTATCCCACCGCCTACTTTTTTTTTTACCACTTATTCAGAAATATTCGTATTGTATGATGATTGAATTCCTATAATAAAGCCTTACTTTGTTTTGTCTTAATTTTTGCCTGTTCACCTTCTTTTAATATTTTTTCCCTTTTTTTGCGTTAGTTGAAACTGAAAATGATCAGTTTTCAAAACGTATTAGTCTGTGCTCCCATAAAATGAACTCTTCCAACCTCTTCTATAGTGAGGACGAGGATCCAGAGTACAAGCCGCTGCGGATGCCTTTTAAAGATGACATGGATGACTTCACCAACTCCCCGCTAGATGACAAAGATGACACTGTGGAAGGTGAAGCCGAAGGTAAAGTCAGAGACAGAGCGAGATGGTGGAAGGAGTTCAAAAAGCAAAATCATTTAATAGAATGCGAACACAGTTTTTGTGTGAAATTTCTCTGGGGAGAAGCTTACCATCCAAACAACAACCCTACACCCCTGTAAAAAAGCACAATAAGATGGCTGAATGGATGGATGCCCTTACAGCGTCTTTCTCCTCTTCCTTGCTCATTCCCTCTCCTCTCCTCTCCTCCCCTGTAGCTAAATCAGGTGAAAACGGCCAAGGTGTGCCTGCCACGGGCTCCGAGCGGCTCTATTGGCCAGCGGCTTCGGCTCTGACCGCCCGCCTTCGTCGCCTCATCACAGCCTACCAGCGCTCCAACCGCAGAGAGCAGCTCCGTCAGGAGGCCCTCAATCGGCCCGACGGTCGCAGACGGCGACGCAGGGAGTTCATGCCTTCCATCGCCATGGTTACCGACACAGGAGGAGGGGCAGCTTACATCCAAGACGGAACGGGGGTGTTCATGACAGAAGGAAGCCCATATCTGGCTAAAGGAAGTGCCTACTTTGCCAAAGGTGGACAGTTCATGTCAGAGGCATCACCAGTGATGACCGCCGGCTCCCTGATGGCTGATGGAGCCATGTACTACAAGGAGAGGAGGCAAAGGTAGATTATTAACATCACACTTGTATATGGATACATACAAATATTTAAAGAATCACCTTACAGTATACTCCACCCTACAAAACAGCCACTTACCTGTTCTCACACTTTTGTTTTGTACCCTGTCAGATGGACTCGCCGCGAGGAGGCTGATTTCTACCGTGTAGTGTCCACCTTCGGAGTAGTCTTTGACACCCAGCGTCAGAAATTTGATTGGACGCAGTTCAGAGCCTTTGCTCGACTGGACAAGAAAACAGACGAGAGCTTGGAGAAATATTACTACTCATTCATTGCCATGTGTAAACGGGTCTGCAGAATGCAGGTCAAGACTGAAACAGGTAAGAGAAAGCCTATAATGTAGTTGGTCAGTCACTAATAAACAAGTTTGGGGTCAAATAAAAGAAGAAAAATTGACATTATATTATGTTGACTGTTTTACCTCATCAGAACTCCCAGACCCTACCCTGATCATTGACCCCATCACAGAGGAGCGTGCCTCTCGCACCCTGTACCGCATCGAGCTACTCCGCCGCATCAGAGAGCAGGTCCTCCCCCATCCGCTGCTCTCCGAGCGTCTCAAGCTCTGCCAGCCCTCCCCAGACCTCCCTGAGTGGTGGGAGTGTGGACGTCACGACCGTGACCTCCTCCTAGGGGCCTCCAAACACGGTGTGAGCCGGACAGATTATCACATCCTAAACGACCCTACCTTGGCCTTTCTGGAGGCCCACCAGCGCTTTACCAGCCAGCGTGGGGCTGGCGTCTGCATGGGAGCCCAGGGAGAGATCCCCAAAGCTGGGATGGGAGCGGAAACCATCCCCACACCCCTCCTCACCCCTGCAGAGCTGGCGAGCGCTGCAGCTGCTGCCAAAATTGCTGTTAATGCAGCTAAAGAGGAGGAGGGCGACGGGAAGGAGGTGAAGACCGAGGAAGGGACAGAAGAGATGGAGGTGAAAATGGAAACGGAGGGAGGAGATGCCAACAACATTCCATGTACCAAGACTGAAACTCCTGACGAACCGAAGGACAATAAGGGAGAGAACGGAGAAGGGAAGGATGAAGCTGCCTTTCCACTGAGAGAGGAGGTAAAGAAAGAGGAGGAGGCCCAGCCAAAAATAGGAGAGGAGCATGAAGAGGAGCATAGTGGAGAGGGAGATGAGACTTCCAAGCCAGCAGATGACAAAGACTTAACCGAAGAGAAGAGGAGTTTGACTCCTGTCGACTCTCTCGGGGACCAGAAGGAGGCGACCACTGAGCTCCCAGAGCATCCCGACTCTTCTCCTAAAGCACAGCCGGGCCACAAGACCACAGAGGAAGAAGACGGAGAGGAGAGGGAGAACCCAGAGTCTCCTAAATCTCCAAAATCAGCCAACACAGAGAAAAGCCCAGAGGAGGAAGACGAAGACGACAAATCAGAGAAATCCTCTCAGGCTGAAGGTAAGGGGAAAGTGTATTGCATTGGCTTTGACTTGGAGTCATTGATCACAGTGGGGATGTCTCAAAAGTCTTAATTTTAGTAAACTCTTGGTCCTGGTTGTCGGCTGTCGTCACTGCTGACACCACACGCGGTCACAGGCTTATTTTTGGAGTTTCCCCTCATGACTTGGCAGTGTTTTTAATGAGTCCAAGGTCCAGGGGCGAGAGAATAAAATGAGTTTGGATCCCTTGATAATGATTCGGATCTTTTTTTAAAATGAGAGCGGCAACTTGACTCTCCCTCTCTCCGCACAGCGAGTGCTGCGTCAGAGCAGAAGAACTTCGACGAGGAGAGCATCGCATCTGTGAGCACATCGGCCCAAAACGAGACTAGAGATGGGTTCTGCCCCGACGACCTGCCAGAAACCTCTGCACTGCAGGCCCTGCAGGACCGTGCCTACGGCTTCTCATTCTGGCCTAAGGTGAGTCTGAGATAGTAGCCGACATGGATAAATAAAGGCCAGTCAATGAAAGCTGAGTGATAACATCCAGTAAGTAAGCTTCCTGCAGATGTGTCACTTTAAAGTTGATTTAATTCATTAGTCAATCAGTTTATATGGTAATAAACTGAATTATTTTTAGGTTTGGACTAGTCAAACAAAACATGGCATTTAAAGACATCAACTTGAGCTTCTATTTCACTATTTTCTGATGCTTTATGGATCAAATAACTAATCAGCAGATTCATACATAATGAACCATTTTTGTGAAACATCTGTGCAGGAAGCCTGCTTCATTGAAAGTAGCTTAACAGGAATCTCATGATGTCCTTAATATATAAGCCTATAGGTTTCAAGTAAAGGCCTCTATCTGCTGTAGTCGTAACTATTTGAGTATTTACAGTATGCAGAAACAAGACCTGCTTTTATCCAAAGCACTTTATAGAATAGTCATCACCTCTCTCCGTCTTCTTCGCACCCTCAGGATCGAGTGATGATCAACAGGATGGATAACATCTGCGAGGCCGTCCTGAAGGGCAAGTGGCCTGTCAACAGACGCCACATCTTTGACTTCCCCAGCAACCTGTTGCCAGGGCATGGCTCTGCAGTGACCGCGGCAGCCGTAGCCACGGCGACGGAGAGCCCACTGCAGAGGCGGAGCCTGGCCGAGTTGACGTTGGCCGGCATCCATACGCCTTACAGTGGGAGCGAAGATAAAACACTATCCCCACAGGTTCATGTGAGTTTTTGTGCCATTGGCATCCACAGTCAGAGAAAAGCCTAATGAGCTTAGCAGTATTAGCTACAATGCAGTTATACTTCACGAAGGCCTAGAATGACCCTATTAGCTTTATTTTTGTTAATATAGATACTGCTAACATAATTATTGCAGCTAACTGAAGGGCCAGTAACAGTAATGTGACGAGCTCCTAGGTAAGATGCTGTCACACAGCAGTAACTGATGACCTGATGTTGCAGGAGGACGCTCTGAGCCTGACGGTGCCTCGACAGAGGAGGAGGAGGAGGAGGAAGATTGAGATTGAGGCGGAGAGGGCGGCCAAGAGACGCAACCTGATGGAGATGGTGGCTCAGCTGAGAGAAAGCCACGCGGCTGCGGAGACCCAGAGCCAGGCTATAGACCTCACCAAGGTGGCCACACCAGATTCTTCATTAGAAACTGAGTCGCCAAACAACTATTAAATGTTACTGACATTTTTCATTTACCAACTAAACCTGATCTGATTTTGTTTTTCAGGGTATGCATCACCACAAGGCCTCTCCCTCATTGGCTGGCTTCCCCAGTGCCCTGGTGACAAGCCCCTCCCTCAAAGCCCAGATGGAGTTGCTGCAGCAGGCCCCACCCTCCGGACACAGAGCCAACGGCTCGCTGGAGGCTGACCTGCCGATGAGGAGGAGGCGGGGCCGCAGGAAAAATGTGGAGGGCCTGGAGCTGCTGTTCATGGGCAACAAGAGAGCAGGAGGGGTATGCAGCGTGTGTGTGTGTTTTAACGGGCAGTAAAGTTGTCACCAACACTGAAGACTTTATGAGTATCTACATTAAATGTTCTTTTCCTTCTCCCCCATTATCTGTGTTGGACATTCAGGATGATGCTGAAGAAACAAAGGTTTCAGGTGTGGAGGGGGTTCAGGGTTCTGCCCGTGCCCACAGACCCCACACTGTCCCCGAGCAGAGCCCCAGCTCCAGATCTCTGGCCTCTGGCAGTCTGGAGGAGGAAGAGGCAGCAGTTTCCAGCAAAGAGCTAGGAGAGTGGCTGAGGCAGCACCCGACTTACACCATGGACATGGCTGGATTCACACCAGTATGTCATCCTTTCTTTCTTTTTCCTCTTTAACTTTAATCCTCTGTGACTGTGAACCACTAAGCAAGATCTCTTAATGGGGTTGTTTTCTTCTTCTTGTTCAGCAGTCTTTTCTCTAAGCCACTAGTTATTCACTCCTCCCCATCTCTTTTGTCTTCCTACAACAGAAGAGTGAGGAGATGCTGCTGTCTCAGTTTTCAAAGCCCAAGCAGAAGCGCCATCGCTGTCGAAACCCCAACAAGATTGACATCAACACCCTGACCGGAGAAGAGAGGGTGCCTGTGGTCAACAGACGCAATGGACGCAAGGTACGCTGACATCAGGATCCTCCATTCAAAACACATACTGTGCAGTAGATTCTATGTGAATCCATTTTTCAAGAGAAACTAATTCCATCTTCCTGTTCCTCAGATGGGCGGGGCCATGGCTCCACCAATGAAAGAGCTTCCCAGATGGTTACTGGAAAATCCAGAATTTTCTATTGCCCCTGATTGGACAGACATCGTCAAACAGTCGGTTAGTAACCGAGACAAAAACCTTCCAACAGTTGCACCTTTGTACTGTAATTTCACTGCTCCTGTAAACTGTTTCTACAGAAATTGGTGGTTAAAAAATAAAATGATTGCATTTTGTTCCCATATAGCCCCTTGAAATTGTTTTCTAACCTGAAACCTCTTCCACACAGGGTTTCCTCCCAGAAGCCATGTTTGACCGCCTTCTGACCGGCCCTGTAGTCAGGGAGGAGGGCGTCCGTCGTCGGGGACGCCGACCCAAATCCGAGATCGCCAAGGCAGCGGCCGCCGCACAGGCAGCAGCTGCAGCACAGGCTGCCCAGGCATCACTGGCCACCGCTGCTTCATCTGCAGGTACGAACCACTGCTAAAGCACCATAATGTTGGGGAACACAGGGAATGTCTGGAATTGTGTAAACTTTATTTATGAACCCCCTCAACACGTCAATTTCTTGAAAGTAGTGTATGTGTTTGTGCTGGAAGAGCTTCCTTTTAACCCTGCTGTGTGTGTGTGTGTGTCTGTGTGACTGTCTGCAGGAGGCATCAACCCTCTGCTGCTGAACAGTCTGTTTGGAGGGATGGACCTGTCGTCCCTCCAGAGCCTCCAGTCTCTCCAGTTGGCTGCTGGTCTGATGGCCTTCCCTACGCACACTGACCCCAAGCAGGCTGCTGCCAGCGCTGCCGCTGCCTCCATGCTGCCCCTCATGCTGCCCGGCATGGGAGGCCTGCCCAACATGGCGGCCGCCCTCCCCAACATGTTCAGCCTAGGCGGGCTGTTCGGCGGTAACCTGGCGACAGCCGCAGCCGCCGCCGCGTCCAACTCCTCCGCCGCATCAGGGAACACCAACGGAACAATGGAGGGAGAGAGCGACGAGGCGGCAGCGATGACGAAGGGAGAGGAAGACGGAGAAGATTGTGATGAGGTGGGAGACGAGGACGACGATGAGGAGGAGGAGGCTGAGGGAAATAAGGAAGTAATGAAGAAGGTGGCGAAGAAGAAGAAGAGAAAGCAGAAAGCGGGTGATGTCACTGCAGCTCCTCAGGGCTCAGCCGTTGATTCGTCCATCAACGGCGATGCTGCGGCCCTGTTAGCTGCAGCCGGCATGTCTGCTAATTCACTGGCGTTCAACCCCTTCCTCCTCTCCACCATGGCCCCCGGCCTCCTCTACCCCTCCATGTTCCTACCTCCGGGCCTCGCAGGGCTCAGCCTGTCCGGCTTCCCCACCGCCTCCACCCTGGCCGAGCTGCAGAGCGCCATGGCCGGAGCGCTGGGCAGCAACATCGTGACCACAAACCCCCCGAGAGACGAGGAGGGGAAGAAGGGGGATCCGAGAGCTACGAGAGAGGAGGAGGAGGAGGAGGAAGATGATGATGACGAGGAGGAGGAGGGCGGAGAGAGTGACTTGGCTGAGGAAAAGGAGGTGGGTGCGGAGGAGGAGACGAGAGGCGAGGACTCAACCCTGGAGGATGGAGGGATGGGAGGAGAGGAGGAGGAGGAGGAGGAGGCAGCGGCGTCTCCACAGAAGGACAAGAGTGACTGAAATAAAACACAATAATGGACTGGCCTTGGACATTTCCTCACCTCTGACCTCCCCCTTCTCCTCCCCCTCACCACGTTTACACGCCTCCACCAGAAATATCCAAACTATTATGAATCCTGTTTTTTTTTTTTTCTTTTTTTTTTTCCTTTACATTGTTGTTGATGATTTCTCTCTCACTCTTTGTTGTTTCTTTTTTGGCCAGGTATATTTACTATGCGTCAGAGAGGGCGAGGTGTGAGTGTGTGAGTGTGTGTGTGTGTGTGTGTGTGTGTGTGTGTGTGTTAAGTTAAATCTCTCTGATCGATAGTGTAGTCAGGGAAATCCTCACAGCCGCTCGCTCAGAGCTCGGCTCCTCTTCAAAGACTGTTTCTTTCTCTCTGGTTGGCCTGTGTGCACTGCGAACGGTGCGCCCACACTTTTCTCTCCCACAATCCCTCAAATAGGACTTCACGAGGTTCCAATAGTACTATTATTATTATTATTATAAATTATTGCTGCTTTCAGCTCTCAGATCTTTATTTTTTCTTTTCGCTTCCTCCTTCTTCGTCTGGACTGTTTTGTTGTTGTTGGTTATTGGCAGCATCTCATCAAAACGAGGAGAAACGCCCGCAAGTGGCGGTTTTTGTTTTTTCCTAACATCAGTTCTCAAATAACAGCATTACAGCTAACCTGGCTGTCTGTCTGACAAAGCTGCTGCAAAAGGAATTGTGGGTAGTGGAGTTGATGGAGCTGCTCTGTTTCGGAGCAGATTTTTAGTTCTCACATATCAGACCAGGTAGACTCTGAGGAGCAAAAGGAAACCAGACTGGCCTAAAACTCAGTCTCACACACTGACTACCATAACACACACACACACACACACACACACACTCTCTCACACATACAGAAGTCCACCACTACACACACTAACCCCCTAAACCCTCTCTGTTATGTGACTGTTTCTGGGAGGACTCGTCCCTGCAGCTGTTTTCCTTTTTGAGTGTATGTGTGTGTGCACGTGCAGGTGTGTGTGCACGTGCACGCTGAACCAATACTGTTAAACCCAGTCCCACACTGTTTGAATACCAGTCTTGAATCTTTCCACTGCCACCGTCTGAATCCTGTCTCTCCTCTCTCTTTTCGAGGCGGCTGGTTTTGGCTCAAGGGGGGTGGCAGGCGGGCTGGGTCTGCCGCCAATCAGGCCTTCTGATTGGTCCGCCTCACGCCACCAAAACCAGCTGTCCCCGTTTGGAGGTTTCTGTGAATGGGTTTGGAGCCGGTGGTCCACACAGGGATGTGTTGTTTCAGGTTTATTCTTTAAAAGGGGGCACATTAAGATGGTTGAATTTCCCGGTCGCTGCCACATTAAAATCCTTATTTTTATTTTATTTTTCCTTCATATCCCGGTAGTTTCAGACCAAGTGCTGCTCCCTAGTGACCTTCTCTTTAAAGACTGTTTCTCTAGTCACACACACTGACACCAGGCCTGGCCAAAACAGGACTGAGACACATTTTCAACTGAGTTGGAAATTCACAAGTTTTCTATATGAAGTTCAACTCTGGTCGCTGAGTTCGGTTTTAAATACTTGGAAAGCACGAGCGGTGCTTGATTTGTTTCCATTTCCAAGGCCAGTTGAAGCGTCTGAGATAAATCAAGTGCTGTGAGTGGTTCAAATATTTGAAAGTACATTCAAACACGCACCGTGGCCAGGTCTTATTAACATTTGCTATCACAGCCAGCCCAGCAGATGCAGAGAGCGAACTGGGACGGAGCAGGAGGGTCAGTTTGGACTCCCTGGAAGACGCCCCCTCCCCGTCAAAGACCCGCATTCTCCTCTCTAGCGCTGAGACAGCAATAACCAAGGCAGCTTTTGAATGTTCCAACATCACTCTCCCAACACAGACACACACACAAACACACACACACTATATGAATAACCACAAGTGTCGTATGAATAGAAAAACAAAACTAAAACTGTAAATGATGACATAAGTACTGCAATCAATTTTGTCTCACTCTGTTCCTGTTGATGCACTGGTGTTAAAGAGTTAAAATAATCAGGTACCTTTATTACTTAGCTACTTTTTCTTGAAAAAAATGGACTTTTTGTTACTTTTAGCCAGCAAGCTGAAGAGCATTACCTCAAAATTCTTATCTAGCCTTGAAGTTTACAGACATACCATGTAAATGTTTTTTTTTTCCTCTTTTTTTTTTGGTGTTTGTCGTTTTGTTTTGTTTTTTGGAGACATCATGTATGATGAATTGTAGCTATGATGCTTTTAATAAAAGTGAATCATGATATTCGCCTAGGAAACCAAACCTCAGCTCGCATCTCCTTATTTGTTTCACTCCTCGACTCGTACCTTCAGGAACTTCTCTGGAAGCAGCTCAACAACTGACTGATGATACGCACTGTTTCTATGTGGACACAAAAATGATTCCTGTACATACAATATACAGTAAACATAATACAACAATGCTAAAATTACACTTGCAAATAAACTGCTTAACATTAAGATTGAATGTGCAAAGTAAGATTTAGATAATCCAGTGAAAACTAGACGATAAGTTTTATAAACCAGGAATTAATCATAACTCAGGGTCCACTCCAGGGCAAAACTCAGCTGGTGAAGAAGTGGGTAAAACTTTAAAAAGTTAGTAAGTGGACCTCGAGTTAAAGGCACGCTAGTTGTAAAGAGTTGCAAATGTGAATTTTTGTAACTACAAAACGAAACCTACATGGAAACACTACTGGTTTTCCTTTATGTCCTTCATTCTTCATTTTGCCAGTATGAACGTAAAATAGGTCTTAAATTGCATTTAAAGTGGTCTATAAAATCCTTAGGTTAACATTCAGTGTTTCTTACCAAAACTGTGTGTGTGTGTGTCTCTGTGTGTGTCTGTCACTGAGGCCTGGCAAATACATTGAGTCATAAAACATTAGCAAAAGTCAGTTTTTGTAAGAAACGTGGATATTTTACATCCACGTTTGCTGTCACGCCTCTTCCTTTTGTTACATTTACAGCCACCAACCGTCAGGAACAGCATGACGACAGGCTGACTTATCGGAATCGAATAATCTGGATACTTGGGCCTTTTAAAATGTCTTGAATATGATTTTGACAGGCCTTGAAAATCGATTGGATTAATGGAGTTAACGTCACTTGTGTGAAGTGTTATTTTTCACTCTTAAATTAGTTTTCCTTCATAATGTTTTTTGTTTAAAGTGAACCTGTTTTCTTCAGTATCAAAGTAATCTGGTGATAGTTGTCTGTATATCAACGAGTACATTGCAGACAGGAAGTGCTACAATTTAAGCATATCTAGGCTTAAAAGAAACCCCTGCTCTAAAGGGATTGCACCTTTTGCTTCTTGGTGGAAGTTAGTGCTGCAAATAAAGAGAATTTTCATTATGAAATTAATCTGATGGTTATTTATTTACAGTTTTGTCTGTAACACTGTCTTAAAATTCCTTGTTTTATTGGACCATTGAGCCACAATCATTTTTCAGAGTTAACCGAACCACTCCATAGGATTTATTGATGATTGCTATTTGGTAAAATCTACTTTTTGTCCAAATATGCTGCTAACTTATGATCCAGAACAGTGAAGCTGCTCTTTACCCACATCCCTCCATCTGCCCTGGAGCTGAGGAAATGTTTCTCTATGCAGGACTTACGGTCTGAGGAGGATGTTTTCCTAACATCAGCCAAGACGATTCAGTGTCCTGCTGCTATCACTCATACGCTGCCCTAGTCTTAGTGCTTGAGACAAATGGTTTCTGACTGTAAAACTAGAGTTGTGTAGTTTACTTTAAACAACATCATGACTAGAGAGCTATTTTAACAGACATACTTATATTTTAAAAGTGGGATTGTTAGCCATGGGGGTCAGATGTAGAGGGCTATGTTCACAGAAAAATGTTGCATGTCTGTTATAGGTGTCTTAAAGGCCTGTTAGCGGCCCCTAGAGGCCTCAGTGGTCATTACATAGAAATGACCGGGGCAGAAAGAACAGAGTGGTGTGAATAAACCAAACTGTTTGGTTAGATGTGGATGTTGTGGTTATAGAACAGTGTGTGTCAGCATTAAAGAGGGAAACAGTGAGAGTTGAACTAATAATTCAGGTCAAATGGAGGTGAAATAAGAAAACAGGAAACTGTTGGGGTGTGTGTGTGTCTGTGTCTGTGTGTGTGTGTGTGTGTGTGTGTGTGTGTGTGTGTGTGTGTGTGTGTGTGTGTGTGTGTGTGTGTGTGTGTGTGTGTGTGTGTGTGTGTGTGCGCCACTCCAGCCAGCCGTCAGAAATGGCCTCTCTCCCACTGGAGCTGCTGACAAAACACAAACTGACAGCCAGACCCCACTCTGTGTGTGTGTGTGTGTGTGTGTGTGTGTGCAGAGAGACCGGAATGGACAATATGTGCGAGAATTTGGCTGTTCTTTTCTTATACCTCAAAATTACCAGTCTGAAGCTTAATGTTGCATTCAAAGACATATGCAATGTCTGTACAGCAATTATCAGACTATGTATGAGCTGTTAGTTCTCAGAAAGCTTCACATTTATTTATTAAATCCTGTCCAATCCTGATGATGTGGAACAATGAGATGCAGATTCATTACATAAAGACTGATGCATTTACAGTTGCCTACATACTTACTGTACTTCCTGTAAAACAATCCCACATCAACAATCCAAATATAGAGGCCCTATAACGCAGAGTCAACACAAACTCTTCCCATCCATCTTGCGATTTGACAAGAGAAACACTGAATGGCCTTGGCTTTGAAGCATGCTCTCATCTTAGTTTAGCATGTTAGCATGCTAAAGTTTAATGATCATAAAACACAAAGTAGGCTTACAGCTGAGGCTGATGGGAAAGTCATCAGTTTTGCAGGTATTCAGTCATAAACCAAAGTATTGGACAAATGAACAATGTGTCCTGATGGTGGTGCTAGACCAGTGTCGCCATCCCTGGAGCCATGCTGCTAGCCTTGCTAAAAGAGACAAGGTTCTCTTTGTTTTTCTCCACACAAATTGCAAACTTTGTATACTTGTTGCCCACTATCCATCAACCTGCAACGTGCTTTTAATATAGAGTGCTGCAGGAATGAGTCCCCAACCCAGAACTAGTATTTTTGCACCTTTAGTTCCCTCGCCTCGAACTCAGTAGGTTTTTTGAATGGGTGTTTGGGTTTGATGCCTAAAATAGGTCTGTGATTAAAACTAGCTCAAGAGGTTTCCATGTTTTGTTCTACGACATGAAATAATACTCCACCTGTGACATTTGAAGATTTTATGTGTCTTTAATGGACCAGTGTGTAGGATTTAGTGGCATCTAGAGGTGAAGCTTCAGACTGCAACAGAGGCAGAGCGGGTCGTCCCCTAATCGGAACGTTGTTGATTCGATCCCCGGCTCCTCCTGCCACATGTCAAAGTATCCTTGAGCAAGATACTGAACCCCAAATTGCTCCTGATGCTGTGCATCGGTGTATGAATGAATTAGTTTCTGTTTGATGGGCTTTACCATCACTGAGTGAATGTGTGTGAAAGGGTGAATGTGCCATGTAGTGTAAAAGCGCTTTGAGTGGTCAGAAGACTAGAAAGGCACTATACAAGTACAGGTCCATTTACCATTTACAATTTACCGTTACTGTTAAAATACTTCATAAAAAGTACTTAATCAGAAATGTTTCTGTAACTTACAATTAGTGTCACTTAAAATGACTAGTACAAGCTGCTAAAATGTTTGATGTAATCCATTTCAACTATTTGTTTGTGTTAAAATAACCTCTTGCATTACAGTATAATGCATAATCACCTGTATATAGGAATTGTGTTTTTATTACCCTAGAATGAGCTGTTTTTACCTACAGCGGGAGCAGGTCCTCTAGTACAGTCCCCCATGTTTCTACAGTAGCCCAGAACAGACAAACCAAACACTGGATTGTGGCTTTTTTCATATTCAAATAGCTGCAGTCTGCAACTTCACACCTACATGCCACTAAATCGTACACACTGGTCCTTTAAAACCATTGATGTGATGTGACCTGGTGAGTTTTTCTTGCCAGTACTATTATAGCAACAACATTATTTCTGATGTGTTACCCAGTGGCATTCAATGAAAGCTACTGTGAAGAGGCTGCCAGTCTTCTGAGTGATGTTATAAACAGTTTCCAGTCATCATATGTCTCAGTGTTAATATTCTAATGAGGTTATCACACTTATACTGCACCTTTAAAAAGCGACTGGCAGCATGGGCTGAATGGAAGTCAGTAGAATGTCCTCACATGAATAGTAATACAAACATAAGTGTGTGTGAGTGAGGGTGTGTTTACTCTAGCAGACAGTAGAGAGGTGGAGTGTGTGTGTGTGTGTGTGTGTGTGTGTGTGTGTGTGTGTGTGTGTGTGTGTGTGTGTGTGTGTGTGTGTGTGTGTGTGTGTGTGTGTGTGTGTGTGTGTGTGTGTTGACAGACGTCTGGCCTAATCGTCTTGCTGGAGGAAGTGGGACGTGAAATCCACCAGCCGCCCCATACCACACACACACACTCACGCGCACAGACCCACAGACCCAGCATGCAGTCTTGTCTTCTACCCTCATTTCTCCTTCCAGGAATTTAGAAAAAAAGTCTGATTTATTAGATTTCTGGTCGTGTATTTAAGGTCATTGCAAAAATGTGGAAATTAGAAGATCAAGTCCAGTGATACAATTTATACACTCTATTAATATACAATGTGACATTAAATATAATTATATATACATTTGAAGCTCTGATGAAATAATTATATTGATTTCAAATAGACTAAAACAGCTGAATTCAATTTGTCATAAGCCAATGCATATTAATGTGTATTACATCTACTCTTGAGGGTTGCTGATACTGTTTCATCAGTTACTTTAATATGCAGAGCAACTGAGCAGTGATATATTGGGACAAAGCCGCCTTTGTTTCTAAAGGCTCTTCAGTGAGAAGCAGCTCTCCTGCCATCATGGCTCTGTCTGTATCTATATCACTGCTGACTGTGTTGCCAGGCTGTGCTCTGCCAGCTAACTTGTAATGAATTTGCCCAGATTAGTGAATATCCAGCCTTATTGTCCAACATACTGTACATCATGTTGGTGATAATCCAGATCCTCAAATCCAGATACCAAATCAGAAAAATCCACATTAAAGAAGGCAGTCCGCCGATTTCACACTGAATTCCAGTTTACTAGTCACAAGGAGCATTACTCAGCTGGCAGAGGTGGGTAGTAACAGATTACAAGTAAAGCACATGAGTAAAAAAGTCCTTTTTCAGCCAGTAATTTTCTTTTTAATTCGCTA